CCATTAACATTTTACTATAAAAAATTATTAGTTATTAAGTAACTGAAGTCATTTAATATTTTCAAGGAGACTGAAAATCTGTTTTCATTAGTTACTTTTATGTATTATGGTCCTAATTTATTTTCTAAACACATAAGTATGAAGAAAATAAAAACTATGGAATGTTATCATCTAAGTCAAGATTAATTGTCCTCATTAAACAACAACATTCATGCAGTGAAAGTGTACCTGGGGCTGTATTCTGGTCACTGTCTCTGGTCTCTCATCTCTCGCAAGCCGGTTGCTGATTGGCTAATCCAAATGATTAGCCAATCAGCGACCGGCTTGCGAAAGACGAGACACCAGAAACAGTGACCAGAATATGGCCTCTGATATTAAGGCACTTAATTTTTTCCAAAATGCTTCATCTTCATACAATTAACAAATATATTATTCCTGATTTCACAAGAGAATTAGTTAGAAGTTAAGAAAGATGAGAGATATTTAACATCTTTTTAAGTCTATTATTGTATTTTCATTCTTTTATTCTGAACTAATATTTATTGATGAATATCCTTTATAAATATATTTATGTGCTTAGTTTTTAATCTATATGTAATATGAATTAAGAAGTAAATCCTAATTACAAAGTTTTGTTGACATCTCAGAAGATTATTTGTATTGTAACAGTCTTAGATTTATTTGTAATAGGGAATAATAAAATGATTATTTATAAATTTGCTGAATTGTATATACAGTGTAAGTTGGAATCAAAAGTTATTAAGATAACATTTATTATTATTTTTTTTTTTTCAGTGTTTTGTACACTATCACTTAACTCTTTGCACTCTAATGGGGTTGTTTTGAATAATTTTAGTTAAAAGTGTGGATTTCATTTATATTTAGAATATAAATTTGGCTTTTAATTTGTGTTGTATACAATTTTTTATTTTTCTTTAGTTTTAAAAGATTTTTATGTAAGTGATGCTATAATATGTTCATTTATATAACTAATATATCAATTTAACAGATTTATTTTATTTTAATGATTAAAAGTAAAAGCAAAAATTTTAATTGTATCTAAAACTAATAGCAAACAGCTTATATTACAAATAATTAAAATTTTTCTATACAAAATATCATGTTAGTGCAAGCAGGCTGGCTGCTTGCTACATATATAGGCCTATTACCTAGTAAATATCAAGCTGCTTCAATTAAATAAAAAATAGTAGCATTTGTGTAACAATGATCTCATTACATTTGTCTAGAGAATACACAAATTGAAAGTGTAAGAAATATTTGTAGTTGATTAACAGTATTTTAAATAAAATTGCGGTGACACAGTCCACCTCTCGATACTAGACGGCATACTCCCAGAAGCAGAGCCTACTTCCTGGAGCTATAAATTAGGGGACACAAGAACTGTGACCTACTTCTTTTGGTTCCTCTCTCATTGTGGTCTACCCACTGACCTCCATGTTCATACAAATTTCTGTTACAATCTCATATCTTTGTAAATTTTTGGTATAATAAAGAGAATATAACTGTACTTAAGTTGTCTAGGTGTTTCTCGACAATACTAACGAGTCCACAAAATAAAATGTAATATTAAAAAAAGATTAATTTCTATATTCAAACAACTTCTTGATTAATAAATTAAATTGACATAAAATTTTATTCTAAATAATTTAAAATGTTTTTCAGTAATTAATTCTGGATTGTGTGTACACATTTCATTGTTAATGGTTAACAAAGTATAACAAAAATATTGGTTCTTGTTTATTATAAAAAGACAAAAAAAAAGGAAGTACAGATAAAGATAAATGTATTAATATATTAAAATATAAAAATTAATTACTTTTAAAACTATAAATTTTTCATTGGGTAATGAATCGCAATGTATCTTTTCTTTATTATGATCAATTTCCAATTGAAAATGTTCCAATTCATCCTGTTAAAAAATAAAATAATGTTTTTTTTATTACATTCATTAAATCAATATTTAAAGTTCAAATGATTTTAAAAATTCATTTAAATGAATGTTATAAATTATTTAGTAATGTTTAGAATTTAAAAACTGAGTCAGACATAGTAAGCAAATTAATTTAAAGACTTACTATACTTACTTCTGTTTAAATACAAATATACAATTATCACTTACATTAACGCATCATTTAGTTTTTAATTAAAATTTTATCAAAATATATTATTACTAATATAAAAGCCATTGTCTCTCTGCGTGTGTATGTTTGTGTGTGTGAATTTCTTATAACTCCTACAATTTTTTCCTAATCAAGATGAAAGTTTGGTTATATTTGTCTTATGTTCTGACGGAAAGTATAGGCTACTTATTTTGCGAAAATATTAGCTATAGAATAAACGTTTTATCAATATGAGATTGATGATTGTACTTAAGTTGCAGTGACATCAGTGACCACATGACATTCATGCTCGACGAGGAAATTTCCCTTAAGTTGCATTTTTAAACATTTTGGCAAATGGCATATTTTAAACTTACTTCATGAAATTTAAAATTTAAACTTTATAAAAAGATAGCTGCATTGTATCACTTCTATAACAAATTTTTAAAAAAATGTTTCCACAGTGACCACATGACGTTCTATTATCCAATTGAAGTAACAATCTAACGAGCCCATTATTTAGAAAGTGTTATCACTCATCTAATTAATGTACTGTGCAGGTACTGTACATATAATTCATCTTTGTTTTATCAACATGGAATTAAAAAGACTTGCTATTTTGTTGGAAAAAAAATGCCTAGGAGAAAGCGTAAGAGTAAAATTGTTCAGGTAAATTCTAGATCTAAAAGAATAAGAACAACCAAGATCCCTTAAGACTGTAAAGTCAAACTTGAGCAACATCGAATAAGAATGGCTTTGTCAAGGACTGTAGAAACAGCATTACAACATCAAGCTCGAGTATAAACTAATTAATTTCTATGAATATTAGCAGCTCTTCTTGAATTTCTTAATCTCTACTCTTTTCAATTCTTCAATCTCTACTTTCTCATAAAGCAATATTCCATCATGCTTGATAGGAAAATTTCTAGTTTTAATATAGAATTTTTAAATACTCTCCAATTAAAATATTTTACGTACTGAAATTAATAAAAATGTTTGTGAATATGATATATACTGAGTCTGGTGTAAAAGACCAACAATTAAAAGAGGGGGGAAAAAAACAAAAATTTCAATTTTTTTTGTTATATGATCAAAAGACAGGAAAGATTTATTAATATAATTATAATTATTAACATTTCTAACAATTAAAATAGCTTTTAATTAATTAATTATAATAATGATAAGCCTTATATTATAGCTCGTTCAAATTTTCATTTTCTGTTAATAATGTTATTTTTTGATATTATAATATAGAAGTTTAAATTGAGTTANTAATTTCATTTTTTTTTTTATTTTGAGACCTTGTAATGGCACCAATCTTATAAATAAATTACAATATATTATTATATATTATGTATTTATTGCATATTATAAAATTGTATTTAATATTTAAATGTTATATTATGTAGTTAGCAAGTGTAATCAATCAACTTAAAAATAATTTTTTAATATACTAGTTTCTGCTATCATAAGTATGGGTTAGCACAAATCAGTAAGTCATAAATTGAGAACTAACTATTTTATAATTTTTACATTTTAAACTTTAATTATACAACTGTAAATTAAATTGTTTAATTTATTTTTCAGATTTAGGTATCTTTGTTTTTAATTATTAAATATCCTTGCTAATGCACAAATTTGGATGGCACCAGATTAGGCAAGAATGGGCAATAGCACACCTTAAAATATCCTCACCCATCCATCCATCCACCCCAAAATAATTTATTCAAGTATACCTATACTGACATTATTGGGGGGTTTCTTTAAATATGAATTGTTTGTTCGCAAAGTAATATTCTCATTAAATGCTTTTTTCCAATTATATGTCTACTGAAAACAATTGCTAAATTTTAAAAATTAGTTTCTTTGATGATAAAATATGCAGATACCTCTATTCCACTAAAACAACATTTTGTCCTCCCATAAAGAAAAACCTAGTACTATAACTGTGTCCAAAGAAAGCAAATAAATCAAGAGAACATGGGACAAATTATATGATAAACTTTTTGCAAATGAAATTTGGTCTTGTAGATATTACAGTATTATAGATTATGTAGCAATAAACTTTTTAGTCAACAAAAAATTATTCATGCAAAATTATAGGCAGGAAATTACAGTAAATGCATTTATTACTTTGTTTCATTTTGTTGTAACATTCCTTGTCACAATATATCACAAGAGGGTGCCAAAGAGGGAAATACAAACTTATTTGTCTTTGTCTAAGTTAGTGTTGGTTTTGGTTGTCACCCCAGTCAGATAAATTATGGATCGAATAAAGACAACTATTAATTAACCAGTCGTTTTATATCAAAAAGTGCTTGATACAAAATATTTATTCAAAACTTTTCCAAATGCAACTATATTCATCTTAATTGAATATTTAAAATATTGCATAAAAATAGCTATCATTACACAGATAAAAAATATTACATTAAGAATAATACAAAATTTTATAAATAAACATTGGGAAAATCAAATCTTTATTGTAAGTTTTTGTATGACATAATATTTTATTTTCATTCATCAACATCATGAATGTTAAATCATTACCATATTGTATGTCATCAACATCATTACTTGTATCAATACTGTATGTAAATGGAAAATAAGAAAAAATTCTTCTGGAGATGAAAAAGTAAAATGGATGTACAAACTATAGTCAGTTCAAGATGAAGATTTGTTTTCCAGACTATTTCTCCATTACTCTCTATTCTAGACTATTTGTATTACTATTTTTGGTATAAGATCTTTATAGTTTCTGTTTAAGATTTCACTAATATAATCTACAGATTGTATCTTACATTAATTAAGTAAATTTAAAATAAACTTGTTATACTAATCATTTATAAATTTTATATTTAAATAATAAAACAAAGTAATAAAGTTTATAAATAACTAATATAAAATTATGTTTAAACTTACCTTATATTCCTGAACACGCTCTTCAGAATTTGTCAATGTTTGATTCAAGTAACGATTAATAATTTCAAAATATTTTGCAATAGTTTCAATAATAATCACAAAATTAATTATAAATATGTATAAAGAAGACTCTTTATCGTCAGCTGCAAGAATATTTTTAAATATTTGCATTCTTCTTTCTATATTTGATAAAATATTTTGTTCTTCAAATGTTAATTGCAATGAAAGAACTTCTGGAATTTGTGCAGTTATGTTCTAATATGCAAAGAAAAAAAAATCAAAATAATATAAAGATTACAATAAAAGTTTATTTACAATATAGTATCTAAGTCTTTAATAATATAATCAATCATATATAACTTACTTTGTCTATATTTTCTGTTGTTTCTTTATTAGTTTTATATCTGATATCGTTATAACATATAAATGAAGAACAAAGTTCTACTTGTTTTGATATCATCATACTTTCAAACTCACTGCTATATGCTTCTTCCTGATTTGAAGAAGCTGCACTTTGTAATGAATCTAAAAGATCTTCTTGAATAATGATACTTTCTTCTAATTCCTATTAATTAAAAAAATTTAAGATAAATAATTTAATTAAAGCAAAAAAATAATAATAATAATAATATTTAAAGATTATTTGTGAATATTTAAAAACAATTTGAAATTGATGCAATTTTTACTTCCTATATGAATTCTTTGATGACCAGATGATCAAGCAGTTAGGATGTGAGCCTACCTCTCTGGGGACCTGGAAATGAATCTGAATGGGTCAAAAAACCCCAGGAAATTTTTGGGAATGTCCATCCTGGATATGTCAGGATCCATTCCTAATCACCTAGCTGCTCCATTGGGGGCCTGGCTGAACCCTCACAGTTGGGTTTGATTAAAGGGCTTTCTTAGTGCCCACAAGGCATAAAGAGTAAGAAGAAAATATGAATTCTTTAATATTTGTGTTAATTACCTTTCCAGCTATTTTAATTTCATTCAGTATAATAATAAATTTGATTGTTCAACTATAATTAATATTTATTTACTGTTTAATTATATTTAGATTAAATACATTAAAATCTGCTAAATTTTTGTAATTTTATAGAGTTTGCACATGATGTATTTTACATTATAAAAATGTCCATTATAACTTTATGCATAACATACTTGTATAAACAAAAGAAAAATTTTACGTTAGAAGTTTATTTTATAAAACTGCGGAACCAATTGTATTTGATCCTTTATTAATGTCAATGAATCGTCATCATTATGTATGCACACATAAGAATGTGCTCAGTGTTTGTCAGACATACTGTCTTTGCTTTGTACGTATGTTTGCAATTTTGCTTTTAGTTATCATCTATTAATTTTGACCAGAATAAAAAAAAAACTAGATTTAAATTTACCAAATTAGAATGATTGAAACTTCTATAAGAAGTATTCAATGTATGCAAAGACGGGAAGCAGCAAGGAGGAGATGTGGTAGAATATTCATTCTGCTTTAAGCCGAGACAGTTTGGGGTGAGTTTATTACTTATAAATTTATGTATAGAAAATACTTGATGTTTATACAAACCCCCTTAGATTTAAATTTTGTAGTGTACAGCTGATGAAAGATCATATCCTAGATCAGATTAGGAAATTTAAAATTGTTTATTATATTTTTACAGCACAACAGGTTTGGATGCACAACCACCATTTAAGGTTGTGTGTTTATAATTATAATGTCTGGTAAATATAATGTAAAATATATTGTGTGCAAACTCTATTTTATTTCATTTATGATAAATTTCAAAGCATTTAATATCAGAAAAACTTTTTAACATATTGTTAGCTATGTTGAAAACAAATTAATAAAATCAAAATGGCTTGGTTCTATAAATCATTGATTCTTTAAAGGAAATTATTACAGACACACACCAATATGTAATCATTGTATGACCAGAAATTTACTCAAAAATTGCACATGCTGTAAATATATATTCACAAATTACATGGATTATTAATTAAAATGTAGATCATCTTCTAAATAAACATTATTTTAGAATCTGTAATTGAAGATAGTAGTTTCACTACATTCTAAATAGCTGAAACTTTCACTTGTGACTTTCCTACTAAACTCTGCTGTTTGTTTGGCCTATATAATGTCTTTCTGATGTATAATATTTTTTGATTTCTTTAAATTGTTCCATACTACATAAAAACTAAATGTGTAACATCTATAGCAGTTGATTTAAATTGTTCTTACTCTAATATTATTTTTATATTTTCTACATAGACCTTGTTTATGAACAAGACTTATTATACTGGTGTGGTTTCTAATTAGCAGAGGGAGGAAATCTTAGCCAAAAAGGTAAAACAAAATTATCTTTATTTTCACTCAAACCTGCAAACCCCCTATACTGGTAACATGACAGTTTACTGTGCGATCGTGTTGCCATACAGGTTGTAGGCACTGAGTTGTCTCCAGCTGGTGCCATTAGTAACTAAGTATGGTTATGTCTAAATTAATAAGTTCTGAAAGCAAAAATTGGACAAAGGTTGATAAAAGACACTCCAAATTGGAAGACAAAGAGAGGTTTTATTTTACAGACTATACAGCGTGAAAGCAAGAACAAGAATGAGGAACACGTGGCAGTGTTGCCAGTGTGTAAACTACATAAAGCACCCTGGTGGTGGAACCTGGCATAACAAAAATTAAATATTTTTCTTTAACAAAGGTCCTGGTAGCATTACCGGCAGTGGGAGTTGTGGTTTTGATTCCCACTTTTGGCCAATTCTTTTCTTCCAGAATCTTATACATTAATTATTAAAATATTAATTTAACTAGCAGATAAGCTCAGACAAAAAGTAATGATAGCAAAGATTAAGATTATTAGATTATAGCCGATCTTACCCATTTTCACCATGTGCAAGAATTAGGTCCCCCCTCTTCCGAGACTAATTAGAAAATTTTTAGATATCTGCTTACCAAACTGGGATAACAAAAATTAAGACTCAATGCAACCACTAACTGGTGTATAGTACCACTAAGTGATGAATAATAAACATTTTCATAACTCTTTCTGGGTTTTTCTTCAGGTTTCTAAATTTGAAAAATAAACTGGATCTTCCAGAATCATTCATAAATATAAATGCGAACATAAAATCGAACATTAAGACAAGAGTTCGAATGAAGCAAACTTATGTGCAGGCACTCCCCATGTCAACTTTATATATGATGGAACACTAAATATCGTTGAGAATTTTTATAAAGGTCAAAAAATATGTTTGATTTCTCACATAAATGCAAAAAAGGCATCTGAAATAGTATAATAAAAGCCGAGTTCTTCAGAGTAAGCCTTAATCCCATCTTTCTCCCCAGTGGGTGAGAATTTCAAAATATCCCTTCTTAGTGTATGTTCTCACGACATATCCTAACTGTGTACCAAATTTCAACTTTCAACTCCTAACCATTTGGGCTCTGCACTTATTATCATTATCAACCCATCTCAATTATATTATACAATTATAATTATTAAATTTANGCAGGAAATTACAGTAAATGCATTTATTACTTTGTTTCATTTTGTTGTAACATTCCTTGTCACAATATATCACAAGAGGGTGCCAAAGAGGGAAATACAAACTTATTTGTCTTTGTCTAAGTTAGTGTTGGTTTTGGTTGTCACCCCAGTCAGATAAATTTGATATTATAATATAGAAGTTTAAATTGAGTTATAGAATTTTTTCCTTTAGTATTTTAATATTTTTGAACAATAATTAAGTAAATAAATAAATTTAAAATGTTATTCTTCCATTTATGTTCTTAATCTTTCTTATGTTTTATTTAGCCTAGTGCTACCTATTGTAATAACTTAAAATGCTGTATCCTCACTCTTTCTCTTTGTAATTAAAAGTATTTTATTTACTGGATGTACAAAGATTTTTAAATCTTCATATGAAAATCAAGTTAAACAATTATATAGTTATTTGTTAGAATTTTATCTCCAGTTAAATGGATAATCATAGTTTTATAAGGGGAAAACAAAATTGAACAGAAATTCAAAATAGTAAAAGGGTAATAACTTTGATGAATTTATGACTACAAAATGAGTTAAAATAGTTGATTTCAATAAAATACACTGCAACTTTTAAATCTTATATGTAATAAATTTTTACTTTTACAATAAAATCTCAATTATCTGACATTTACTCAATCTTGTCATATTGCCACGATAAACAACTATATTCACCCTGCACTGTAAATAACAGTGTTGCACTAAATAGCAAACATTACTATTTAGTGTTGTATTCAGTATGTGCATTTATAGTATTTTTTTCCTTCCCATTATTATTTTATATAACAATGTATCATATATTATCATAAATTTGTTTATTCATCCTTACTAGTGATTTATATTTTACTACATGCTCTTTAATTATGTTTTACTTTTTCAATTATACTTTCTTCTTATTTGAGCAATAAAGCAAGTAAAAAGAAAAAATGGGGGAATAATTAATAAACTTGATCTCTTACTGATTTCCGCTAATTTATCTGATACTCTCATTAACCACCTATTGATTGTATTTATTTCAGATAACTGAGACTCTATTACATTTATTTTTAAATTAGACTTACTCCAACAGATTTTATAGCATTTATTTCTTCTTCCATCATTTGAATCTTATTTTTCAAAGTACTTCTTATACATAGATAATGTTCTTGTATCAAAGTTAAGCACTGAATCATTTTTCTTTTTGTATCTTCTTCAATTAAATTCATTTCCATTGCTGACATTAAGAACATGATATGTTGTTCAATTTGAGAGAGATTATTTTCAATAATCTGTTAAAAAAAAGCAATATACAGTGTGTATATATATGTATATGTATATATATATATATATATATATAATTTATATTTTAATTGTATTAATATACATTTATTCTTAACATATAAGATATAGAAAGTACTGTAATTTCCTTTGTATAATCTGCAGACTGTGTTAGAAACCTTCAACTTTGATGGTATGGATAGGACACTGTGTATAATCTACAACAGTCTTTCCATAACGTCAAAAACTAACAATGGCATTACAATGATAATCCTGAATTGAGCAATTCTGCAAAAAGTTAATTTCATTTTTTTTTTTATTTTGAGACCTTGTAATGGCACCAATCTTATAAANTAAATGTGTAACATCTATAGCAGTTGATTTAAATTGTTCTTACTCTAATATTATTTTTATATTTTCTACATAGACCTTGTTTATGAACAAGACTTATTATACTGGTGTGGTTTCTAATTAGCAGAGGGAGGAAATCTTAGCCAAAAAGGTAAAACAAAATTATCTTTATTTTCACTCAAACCTGCAAACCCCCTATACTGGTAACATGACAGTTTACTGTGCGATCGTGTTGCCATACAGGTTGTAGGCACTGAGTTGTCTCCAGCTGGTGCCATTAGTAACTAAGTATGGTTATGTCTAAATTAATAAGTTCTGAAAGCAAAAATTGGACAAAGGTTGATAAAAGACACTCCAAATTGGAAGACAAAGAGAGGTTTTATTTTACAGACTATACAGCGTGAAAGCAAGAACAAGAATGAGGAACACGTGGCAGTGTTGCCAGTGTGTAAACTACATAAAGCACCCTGGTGGTGGAACCTGGCATAACAAAAATTAAATATTTTTCTTTAACAAAGGTCCTGGTAGCATTACCGGCAGTGGGAGTTGTGGTTTTGATTCCCACTTTTGGCCAATTCTTTTCTTCCAGAATCTTATACATTAATTATTAAAATATTAATTTAACTAGCAGATAAGCTCAGACAAAAAGTAATGATAGCAAAGATTAAGATTATTAGATTATAGCCGATCTTACCCATTTTCACCATGTGCAAGAATTAGGTCCCCCCTCTTCCGAGACTAATTAGAAAATTTTTAGATATCTGCTTACCAAACTGGGATAACAAAAATTAAGACTCAATGCAACCACTAACTGGTGTATAGTACCACTAAGTGATGAATAATAAACATTTTCATAACTCTTTCTGGGTTTTTCTTCAGGTTTCTAAATTTGAAAAATAAACTGGATCTTCCAGAATCATTCATAAATATAAATGCGAACATAAAATCGAACATTAAGACAAGAGTTCGAATGAAGCAAACTTATGTGCAGGCACTCCCCATGTCAACTTTATATATGATGGAACACTAAATATCGTTGAGAATTTTTATAAAGGTCAAAAAATATGTTTGATTTCTCACATAAATGCAAAAAAGGCATCTGAAATAGTATAATAAAAGCCGAGTTCTTCAGAGTAAGCCTTAATCCCATCTTTCTCCCCAGTGGGTGAGAATTTCAAAATATCCCTTCTTAGTGTATGTTCTCACGACATATCCTAACTGTGTACCAAATTTCAACTTTCAACTCCTAACCATTTGGGCTCTGCACTTATTATCATTATCAACCCATCTCAATTATATTATACAATTATAATTATTAAATTTAGCAAGAGATGGCACCTAACACCTGCCTCTAGTGCCAAATTACTTAGCATTTAATTAATAATTCTAGTAGTAATATATCCCAATATAATTTGGCAATCATTTGACTTCATTATATGAACATAAAAACAATAAAAATATTTATTAAATAATTAATATATGTATTGAATAAGTTTTATATAAGTTATTTTTACAGGTAAACAAAATAAAATGTCAAATTCAACAAAATTTAACAAATTAATAATTTTGGGCCTAAGAAAGAGGTTTTTCGGGAATAAAACAACATAAAAATCTGTTTAAACTAACATTATAATCATTTTAATTCTATGTTTTGGATACATTTTTATATAAGTTTAAAGCTTTTTATTTATGTAATTTCAAATTATATTTACAAATAAATAATTTTTCATTAATTATCTAATTAATTACAACCTGCCTATCTGTTATCATTGTTTAAGTTGTGACAGGTATAAATCTGGAATGCTTCCATATAATATTTCCTAATGTATATGATGTAACAAAGAAATTTTAAGTGATTTATTTGAAAAGAAGAAAAATAAAAATTAGTATAAGAATTATAATAAATAACTATATTATTAAGAAATATGAGAAGCTTTAATATAGCTTACCGTAACAACTGGTTTTTGTTCGTCAAATTTAGAGATTAAATCTTCTAACTTTTCTATTTTATTAACTATTAAATTGTTTTCCATTCCTAAAACATCTTCAATCATTTTTATTTGTTCTTTCATATCCTGTGCCAAAGAGACTGTATCTTCATATTTTTCAAGTTTGGGACAAAATGCTGCTATTTCTTCTATCTGTGCTTTTCGTTCTAATAACTGTGATTTCAAAATCTGATGAAAAGATAAAATAAGTCAGTCAAAAACATTTTAAATGTCATAAGATAGTAAATAAAGGAATCTAATTCCACATGAAATTTATTAGGAAAACTTATTTTAATGTTCTTTTATAGTTTACACATAAAATCATAAACAATATTAAATTAAATAAATAAGTATTTTTAATGAAATTATAAATAGTAATGAACTTAAAACCAAAAATGTTATTGTTACATTTTAATTAAAATAATTTTTTTATTATTATAAAAGAGAGACAACTAAAATGCAACATTAAAAATAAATTAGGAATAAGTTTAAAAAATAAATAAATATAAAAATAAATTAAATAAATAAGAAAAGAAAAAAATTCAAATTAGTTTATGGCTTTGTGAATATGTTAAATTTCTTTCTATTACAGCAAAACCTGTCCAAAATGGGATATGAATGAGGTAGAAACAATGTAAGAGTAATATTATTTCCTAAATTTGAAAATATATATTTCCCTAGCTTATGAATTTTTTAATTGTTTATGATACATTTTGATACAAACTTCATCTCTACAGTACAACAAATTAATCCAATTTTACTTGGAGCAGCCATTTCTGATGCTATTCCATTCTGCAAGTATTTTCAATTTGATGAAAATCCTTACTGCCACAGTTATCTTCAAGTTTTTACTTATTTAATGAAACTTCTCAAAGCAAACAAAATTCCAAATAACAGCTAGGAGTTGTATCTTATTAACTAAATAGCAAACTTATTTTCATCTAAGGAATGTTTTTGGTAAGAAATTCTGGTTAGAACTGAGATTAGATTGGCAACTTATTCTATAGTTTAGTTTTATTTTATTGATTATTATTGTTTTGTAAACTGAATAAGTTATTTTGGCAAAGATGAAAATGATAGTAATGAATAAAAAGTTAACTTTAATTAAAATTTTTTTTAACGAAAAGCTTTATTTATTTTAATATTATTCTATGATTACTGCATTTTTGGTTAATACATTTTAAAAAAATAATTCAAACAATTCTACAATTACAATTATTATTATTAACAATATCAACAAAAATATTTGTAATATTTTTTTTATTTTATAAATAGTTTACCTTCATTTCTTTCAATTTTTCTTCTTGTTTTTGTTTTGTTACAAATTCTACAGTGCATGATGTTAAATTTGAATAAACACTTGTTATCCACGAATACGATGTCTTAAGAAAAGTAATACAATGCGTAGCTTTCTGTCTGATTTCTTCGGCAACTTTCAATTGACCCTAAAGAATATTAAAAGGGCATAATGTCAGTTTATTAGCAAATTTAATACTATTCATAAAATTAACATACAATGTTATCTTCTATTAGTGTTATGCCCCTAAGATCAGTGACTACTCTCATAGTCTGCAGACCTTTATCTTTCCTCATCTTAGGGAATATGTCCTTTCCATCACCACCTCCACTGACAGTCTCCGATCTCAAGACACAAAACTATTAAAATTAACTTATTTGTAAAAGATGATAAACCAAGCTTTAAAATCATTCTCCTTCATAAAATCCAAAAATATTGATTTAATCAATGCAAAAAATTACTTTAATAATCTAAATATTTTTTGAATGTTCTTCCATTTTATTGTGGAAATGTGTTATTACAAGTTAAAATTTTTCTATTTACTTTTTATAATTTATACTTTTCTGTGTTCTATATCTTTGGTGTTTTTCTTTGCCAAATGTGTGAAAGAGGGTAACCTGAGAGAATAGTCAGGAGTAGAAAGGAGAGAAACTGGTTCTGGCAGATAGCAAGGAAAGGATTTGGCAACATTTCTCGTGTGTGGAAGAGAGGTTTCATGTGTGTGAAACAGAATTAGTCAAAGTTTAAAATCCAGTTTCATTGTTTTCATTGGAAGCACATCAACACAAGACCTTTGAGAAACAAAATACAAAGTGAACACAAAGGATAACGGACCTATTAACCCAAGCCATGTATATGAAAAGATCTAAGGATAAAACCTCATATATATATATATATATATATATATTCATTCTCATTGATATTTATGTATGATATTCCCATAATTTTTTATTTTATATATACTATAATTCCTTCTTTCTATCTTCTAGTTAGTAATCTATAATTAGTTCATAAGAGTTACAGTATTAGACAGTGATGAAATTTGCTGTGTTGAAATTTGTAACCCTCTGTAACATATCATTGAACACATTCTATACCAGACTTACAAGGAGAGCCTACGGCTTTGGGGTAACGGATTTTGACAATCTTTGGTGTATAAGTAGTACACCATGTGAGTGTACTACCTGTAAAATACTCATAGTTTTATAAGGGGAAAACAAAATTGAACAGAAATTCAAAATAGTAAAAGGGTAATAACTTTGATGAATTTATGACTACAAAATGAGTTAAAATAGTTGATTTCAATAAAATACACTGCAACTTTTAAATCTTATATGTAATAAATTTTTACTTTTACAATAAAATCTCAATTATCTGACATTTACTCAATCTTGTCATATTGCCACGATAAACAACTATATTCACCCTGCACTGTAAATAACAGTGTTGCACTAAATAGCAAACATTACTATTTAGTGTTGTATTCAGTATGTGCATTTATAGTATTTTTTTCCTTCCCATTATTATTTTATATAACAATGTATCATATATTATCATAAATTTGTTTATTCATCCTTACTAGTGATTTATATTTTACTACATGCTCTTTAATTATGTTTTACTTTTTCAATTGTACTTTCTTCTTATTTGAGCAATAAAGCAAGTAAAAAGAAAAAATGGGGGAATAATTAATAAACTTGATNTCAAACAGTGGGGAAAAAGACTTCACAAGTGCATCGCATCTAATGGAGAGTACTTTGAAGGTGACTATTAACTTTTTTACAAAATTTCTTCAAAGTTTTTGTACAAAAAATCCGGTTTTTTTGGGTCCCCCCACATATTTATAGTATTTATATATGATTTCTCTAAAAGAAATTCCAATAAAATTATTTAATTTTAATAAGAAATATTAAATGAAATAGTCATTTTTATTGTAGAGTATCAACTTTAACATATTTTAGCAAATGTTTAGTCACACTTAGAAATAAAAATTCATTTAAAAATTAATATTTTAAATAAGTATTTTTTTATATTGAAGTTTTAAAACATTTTCATTTTTTTCTGTAATTGAATTCTGAAAAAATAATAGAAAATTTAACACACTCATGTATGAGTCATTCCCAAAAAGACATATCATATATTAATATTTAAGAAGTTTATATAAATTAATTATTGATGATTACTTTATGTATTAATCTAAAAATGATTTTAAAAGGTTAATTTTTGATTTATTTAAAAAATAAATAAGTACATTTAGTTTATTTTTATGATTATTTATTTAAGATCTTATTGTATTTTTGTTTTATTATCTACATACACATTTATTAGTTTCTTTGAATGTATTTTCAGTAACAATAATAGTAATAAGTAGATTGGTTTATCGCAAAGGAGTGGATCTCTTAGCTGGAGTTATTCGATGAATGAGTAAATAAATAAATACATTATAAGTATTTATGAATTAAAAAAAAATTATACGCGAGAATCGAACCCGAGAACTCAAGCTTATGAATCGGACTCGTTACCACTCTGCCACAGCACGCTCGAATAAAAGTACGTATAATTTATATATAAAGTGCTAAAAAACTTTAAGTTCGATTTTGTTGATTATATTTGAGTATTGCACTTTAGTATTTTACAGGTAGTACACTCACATGGTGTACTACCCTCTAAACCAAAGATCATCAAAATCCGTTACCCCAAAGCCGTAGGCTCTCCTTGTTAGTGTATTTTGGTATTCTTTTTGTTTATTTACCGTTTAAATATCCATTTACCCCACATTATAAAGTTTTCTAGACTTTTAAATACTCTCTAATTTTTAACAAAGAAACTGGTTAAAATTTTTAGTGTGTTCAGTTTATTAAAAATAATTTTGTGCATTAAATCATATCTTTTGGATTATTTTTTAAGTTGAGTTAACTTCAAAACTATTTTCCTCCAATCTGAAGTATATTAATTTAGAAAATAATATATTTCATCTTATTTTCCACTTTAATTTCTAACGTTTTTGGCCATACTTTACTACATGGCCAGAAATGTTAGAAATTAATATGTTTAATGCAATTGTTAAGGTTCTTTGGAGTGTATTGGTATTCATAATTGCATTTTTCCATTAGTTATAAATTTTATTTTATATATACAGTATGTAATAATTGATTTGAAAGAAAATTTCAAATTAAATTTCTCTTTAAGTTCAAATAAAGTTCTATTTGAAATCTACTTATTTTTTTAATTAAAAAATATTTTCAAGTCACTTCTCTCTTCAGTCAAGAGAACATATGTTTAGAGTCTTATCAATGATATGATTGTATAAAAGATGATAAATTCATCATTTTTTTGTGTTTAAATTTGAATTAAAATATTATAAACTTTATAAATTTTAGGTTTTCTTAATATCAGCATCTATAATTATAATTCAAGTCTAAATATTTAAAAAAATTTAATATAATAAAATTACTTTTGCAGCATCTTCTCTGGCTAACAGATCCATTTTCATAGCCTCAATTTTATTTTGTACTTCATTTAATATATCATATAACTGTTCATCCAAAGTTTCTTCCCGAAGATTTTTCACACTACTTTCTAATTGTTCGACGTCCTTCATTAATTGCTACAAAAATAAAATAAATGTAAGTTCAATTCATATTTTAATAAAAGAACTATATCTGTTTTCGTATGTATAAAAATAGCTTACTTTTATTTCTGATATTATGTTTTCAGTAGTTACATGCTCATTAATACTTTTCATAACATTTTGGAGCTTCTTTTCTACAACTTGCAGCTCTGAATCTATTCTTGAAATTAGATTAAAGTTTAAGTTCACATGTTCTGTTGCCACATTTTCAAACTCCTGCTCAATAGTAGTAAATTCATCAGAAAATTCTTTCATTTTTTCTTGCGTATAAATTTCTCTACATTCATTTTCCGACTTTTCTGAAGATCGCATCTCTTTATTTTCAACATACGTTGGTATTTGCAGTTCTTGTACACTCTCTTCACTATATTTTGATATTTCAAGTAATGCTTCTTTAATTACATCATCATTATCCTCTATCAAATCACAAACTTCATTTTCTGATGATTGCATCTCTTTATTTTCTGTGTCTGTTGGTATTTGTAATTCTTGTACACTCTTTTTGCTATATTCTGATATTTCAAGTAACTCTTCTTTACTTTTATTATCATGATCATGATCATCATCCTTTTTCAAGTTTTCTGTGATATCCAAAATTGATATTTGATTTATTTTATCTTTATCTTGTGTTATTTTCTGATTACTTTCCCCAATTTCTGATGAAGTAACTTGTGTTCTATGACATTCATCATTTGATGGAACTTGTAATTTTGATCTTTTTTCTTCAAACTGAGATGTTTTTGCAATAACTTCAAAAGATTTTTGGATATGATCTTGTTCTTTTTTCCATTCAGGTAGTAATTCTATACTTTTCATTTCTACTTTTATATTTACTTGTTTTTCAGAATCTACTTCAGATAAAGTATGAGTTTCAAATTTATCTTTAATTTCGTCACTAATGTCTTCTGAAATTTGTGAAGAACTTTTACTTTTTATAAATTCCGATAAGACTTTATCTTTTTCCGTTGTATATTCCGAAATTGGAAGTACGTATTGCTCTTCTCTAAGGAAATTCTTTTCTTCTTCCATTTGTGGACTTTCTAATAACTGAACATTTTCCTGTTCTGATATTTCTTTTAACACTTCAGGAAATTTTGAATCATTTACTGTTTTATCAAATTTTTCCTGGTCTGATTTTTGTTCTTTTTCAAAATATTGTATGGTGTCAATCTCATGTTGTGGAGTTATCTCTTTAGATTCTTCATAAATTTCTTGTGTTCTTAGATGTGATTCATCATATTTATATTCTGATATATATATTGTATCTTCAGAAATATTTTCTGTTTGAGTACATTCTTCAATTTCTACTGTTGATGTATCTGTGTTATTCAATTTACCTATATTATCTAACAGTTGCTTTGATTCTTCTACATTTCCATATTGCTCTAATTGTTCAGCTTTCTCCATTTTTTGAATAAATTCTATATTACCATTTTTGTCATTTAAATTTGAGTATACTATTTGTTGATTGTCTAACTGTTTTGGCATTTCAACTTTATGTTTCAGTTCATCGTCATCATGTTGTAATATCATCACTTCCTCTATTTTTTCATTATCTTGAGAAATTAGTACATGTTTTTCACTTTCTAATTCTGTTGAAGTATACATTTTATACTCATTTTTATTTACTTCAAGTTCTTCCATTTGATTTGGAATTATTTCTAGTTTAGTTCTGGTGTCTACGTCTTTTTCAAGGTACAGATTTATATTTTGATTTTCGTCTCTGAACTGAATAGAATCCTCATTTAATTTCTGCAGTTTTGATTTGTCAACAGTATGTAATTCTTCATCTTGAAATGTTACTTCAACTGTTTCTTCTTTCAATTTCTCTGTATCTTTATCTACTGAAATAACCGAATCTTCTCTAATCAAATCATTTGCATAAATACTCCTGCCAAGGACCATTAAATTTTCAACAGATTGATCATATTTTAGTATCAAACTTTCATTATTATTATTATTGTCATCTTCAATAACTGAATTAGGTTCTCTATTCTTTTCCAACTTATTTTTATCATCTGATAGAGGAACATTACAATTATAATCTAAAATTTCTTCAGTTTTATCTTTACTGGTAACAGATTTATTTAATTCAATATTTTTATCTTGTGAAATATCTTCAGTTATTTCACTATCTTTCTGGGAAACATTAACTTTAACTGACTTAAATTCATCCTTATGCAATTCTGATTTTTCAGAAATTTGAACAAAATGCTCAACATTACTAGCATCAATTTTATGAGACTCTTCAATTATTTCTACTTCACTCAAATCATTTTTATTAGAAATGTCTTCAGAGAATTCCTTGTTTTCTGAATTTATTATATTATCATTCAAATTTACATAAGTAATAACTTCATCATCATCTAAATATTTTGTTCTTTCAACTAGTTCAGTTTTCATTGTTTCTGGCACAGACTGTTCAAATGTAGATTCAAGTTTTTCATTATCTACTAAAGGCATAAAAATATTTTTATCTTCTTCAACGAAATAAGTGGGCTTAGAATCTTTATCATCATCTAACTTTTCAACTTCTTCAAAAACTGTATAATCACACTCACCAGTGAGCCTTTTTATTTCTTCATCTTCTTCGTCATCATCGTAGTCAATAATTTCCTGAATTTCACATGTTTGTAATTGGTTATCATCACAAGGTTCTAATTCTGTTTCTCCATATAATGAAGATGAATCCAAGACACCTTCATTTGATGAGTAAAAGGTTGCTATATTTCCTGTTGATTTTAGAACTGTTACATTATTTACTGCAGTAAAAGATTTTTGCTCACAGTAAGCAGAATGGTAATCTGCTACATTTTCAGTATGAGAGGAAAAAGTTGTTCTTTTAACCGAATGCTGTTGCTTACTAATCATCCCAGCTTCTGATGTTTTATGACTAACTTGCTGTACAAAAGCAGTATTTGCAGGAATATTTTCATTGTTATTTATTATCTGCTGTGATTTCTGAATTATTTGTGAGACAACATTTTGTGCAACTGTTCTTATTTGCTCATTATCAAACTGTGAATTAGATAATGTTATGCTCTTTTGTGAAACACCAGATAACTGTTTCTCAAATTTACCAGTTTGTGAAGAAGAAAGCACAACAGTTGGCTTACTGTTGTCTTCAATCTGGATCACCTGTGATGTTTGTCCAGCAAACTCAGTACAGGTAGTCCTCTCTAAAACCGTACGAATAACTTTTTGTGATGTCACTGTACGAGACACCTGAGTGGATTCTTCTCCAACCTGATAATCAGTTATTTGACTCAATGGACTACTTTCTAATTCTACCTCTGCAGGAATGTCTTGGATTTCTTGACTGGATGTTATCTAAGGAAAGAAAATATATAAATTTTAATTAAAAAATATTTTTGATAAAATTATTAGTTTTCATTTTTACAAAAGCAATTCTTTATATTGTCACCTTAGTACTAAATATTGTGAATTTGTATAATTTTAAATTATCTACTTGAAACATGTTTAAAGATTTTAATATTATTTTCTATAAATATATAAGTTATCTTAAATTAAATTCTATATTTACATATCAAGCATTAAATTTAAGTTGCTAATATTTAATGCAAAGCTCTTTAAACAGTAAATTTTCACTAAAAAAAAATAATACAAAATAAATATATTCATAGCATTAAGATGACAATATTATTACAAAAAATATAGCTATTCTAATATTTCATTCATATAAAATTCTATTAAGTAAAACATGCAAATCTATATGCATAAATTGATTATAAAATCACAATCAATAAATAAAAAAATTTAAATTAGACATTCATTAATAAATATTATAATAAGCATAAATAATTATTAGGAAAACGACTATACATGACATACTTTTTAATTATCTAGAATGTTAAAATTCTAATTAGAAACAAAACTGTAAATAGTACATTTAGTAATTATTTTTTATAATACATGTAGATGATCCACAAGGTAACCTTTGGTTACTGACATGACACCTGATATATATTATACATTATATGATATATAAATTAGAAATAGTGATTATATATATATCACTATTTCTAATTTAATCTACTATTTTAAATTATGAAAGTTGCAAGTTCTTTATTTTGATTTCTTCTTATAATGATAAATGCTTCTGATGTTTTCAGTTTAAAAAATTTCAAGCACTTCATAATGTGAGGCCCAGGATTTAAAAAGGCTGAGAATCGAATAATTTCTATTCATTTCAAACCAAAACGATTTTTTTTAAAGTTAGGGTTAACTCAAAAAGGAAAAAACAACCGACAAATTTTCTCATAAAAATCGCTCATAAAAACTCCTTTCCCACCACAATACTTCCCTGTAGAAGATGAGTTAACTGTTGTGTCATATTTAGTCACTTCACCCACCATTGGTCAAAGAAGATCATCACCTATGACGTACAGGGAGAGATCTCGAGAAGATATCCCCCCATATAAAAGAAACTGTGAAACCACCGAGGGGGGGACAAGTTTTCCTGAACTGTGAGTGTGCCCGTGAATCGCCTGCCTCTCGTCGCCACCGTCTTCTAAAGACTTTGATTACGACTTGAACTCGAACTATAGTTACGAGCCCAGGATTCGGACTCCGAGATCGTCCTGAACCCTTCAACTTCTACAACTCGAGGTATTTATGCTACTCGCGATGATATGTAAGCTCTCTCTCGAATATTCCAAACTCGCGGTTAGGGTCGCGACAAATGAACTATACGGATTGAAATTCCCGCAGCAAGGGATCTGTACCTTCGACCCCTTAAATAATTAAGTATGTATAAATGTACGGAATAACCAGAATAAACGGGTATTTTGTTAACGAACTTGGATTGGTGTGCGTTTCTTTCGACAATTTTCCACTCCATACTAAACCCGAAGTCCTCGACGAGATCGCTCGTGATAATTTCCCTTCCTTCCACGTATCTATCCGCGATAAATTGATAGATTGGTGTCAGATCCTGACAGGTGAAAGAATCTAACGATCCTTTCTCCTAAACCCTTTTTAACCCATCCTTTAGACAAGCGAGACCGGACCTCAAGGTCTTGAGTCGAGTAAGTGGTAGGAGAGGGCCATCCTCGTAAACATCCCCCGATTAGTCTCACAATAATGCTATTAGACACCATGTTATAACATCAGTATATTTTTCAATAAATGTAACTGGATTAAATCAGGCTACTTTTCTGCAATTATTTTAAATTAATTTCTAAATAATTTGTCAATAGAGGGAGGCGCATCTCTTATTACTAATATATTGGGTTTCAAAATGTTTGTATAAATGTAACATCTTTTTGATTTGACAAAATTTTATTTTTACAGTGTTATATTAATTAACTGTACAGTAATTGTTTTATTAGGAACAAAGTTATATAAGCTAGCAATGGCAGAAGTTGAAAATGTGCAATCAGATTTTGAAAGTAATTTCCTGCCTATAGTCTGCAGATTATATATTAAAAATCCTACCAATTGCAAAGGTACAGATTATAGGTTGCTGAATAAAATTTGTGGCAATTTTTCCACATTAAAAAAATGGTTCTAAAATCATTATTATTTTTTCTTTGTTAATCAACATGATAAAACATGAAATATTTAGTTGTTTATACATCAGGGTTTTGAGAATGATAAAGTTGCCAAAAAATCTATTCACTTCTACTTGTGAAGGGAATACAGTGTTGTTTATATGTTCATTTGCCCTCAATAAACAATTTCAAGTTGATCTTTGTTTAAAGTATGTTTTGCTAGATAATAATAATTAATAAAACCCAACTTTGACACCTTGATTAAGAAGACTCCAAGTTTTCTTGGTCAAGATGCCAGATTTGGAAATTATTAATTATCATCATCTACACTATCAAAACTTTCATTTTTAACTGTTAACATGAAAAAATTTTAAAGTTTGTTCAAATAACAGATCCAGAAAGTTCTTATAGAGTGAGCAATTTAATTAATTAATTATAATATTTTATTGACACAGAGATTCACAGAAATACTAGGAAAACAGCTATGTTCAAAGTCACCATAAATCATACCTAATAAAAAAAAATCCTTGTTTTCATAAACCAGCACAGAATTTAATGAACACAATGAACATTTTTGTCCTATTTAGAGCCAAAAATGTTCATAAAACTATTTCATAACCCATCTGAATATAAACTCCACATCTCTTGGAGTAGCTATTGCTCTATAGGTACAAATCTGTAATTGCAATTTAAAATTGGTGTATAACCCACTCTATTGTATATCTTGGCACGCTTTTAAATGGTCTTTTAAAGACTTTTAAAGACTGCAGGTTATATGAGCAAAACTATAATAACCAAATTATGAAGCATATCTATAGGCCAAATTTCATAATTTGATTACTTAATAACACAGTTAAAGCCCATAAAATAATCTGATAATTCAGTCTTTGCTTAATTTAATGTCAGGCTATAGTTTATGATTGCGTAAAGAAGATACTAAACAAACCTTTTTTTTAATGGATTTTATTAATATTTTCTAAAAATAAATGCAGGAGATATATGATTGAAAATTATGCTTACTTTGTAATTAAACAGTAGGTTTGTTCAATCGTTTGAGTGTACAGGTTTTCACACTTTGTCTCCAAGCTCCAGGTTTTACAATAAAATTTCCAGGTTGCACTAATTTTTAACCATGGCCAAATAAAATAAAAATAAAAAATTTTGAGCATGCTACTCCATATTGGTGCAAATATTAAGCTCAGTTTTTCAGCTGGACTTATGCTAGTAATAAGCTTGTTTATTATTTATTTATTTATCTATTTTCTTTTTTAAATTCCATGAAATTACAATAATAATAATTAACAAATAGCAAAAAAGTTAGTTATAAAAATTAAAGCTATAATGAATATTTTTATACAGACAATAATAATTAGTGCTTCACAGTTTTTTTAAAAATGTAATTATTATTATTATTTTTTTTAATTCAATTTACATTAATTTTTTAAAATTAAAATCATTGTAAAATGAGTGAAAATGAACAAGTGTCAAATCTCTTAATTTCTGAAAAATATACTATTATTTGATTTCTTTTCAAGAGAGTTGATTTCAAAATGTACTTTACAGCTTATAAAATTTGATCTGTACACTGAAAAATATCATTACTGCAATGCACCAGATTCATGCACAGGTTTTTAAAAAAATAAGATTTAAAGAATGTACATTTTTTATAATGTAGTTTATTCATTTTTAATTTCCTGGTTCTGTTATGTATAACAGAGGGAAAGTATGGCAATCAGTCAAAAAATGACTCTCAAGACCTTACATTTCTGGACTTGGAATAATTTATTTTCTAAAATCTAAAACTCAATGTAATATTTTGTCATTAAATTGTGAACTTTTCCACCATTTGAGGAAAAAAAACATGGAAATAAAGCTTCCTTTCCCAACCGTTTACTTCCTGAGAAAATTACTATTGCATCCGATGACTAAACTAACTAACTCAACTCATTGTCAGATGACCACAATCCAAACATCTCATTGGAGAAAATTTCTGAATTTAAGGGTTTTATGAGCCTGATTCAAAGTGAATTTAGCCATTCCAGCCAGTTCTCCAAAACTTTTGTTGGTGCCTATTCCCCTATTTCCTACGTTGGTTGGACTTTCCTACTTCCGCCTCTCATACGAATCATCAAAGAAAGATTAATGATTATATTCAGAGGTATTATGTCAAACTTTATGTAAACTCTCTCTCACGAAGGTTAGAATAACTAGGGATAAACGATTCTTAAATTCTCTAGACCCTTGTATTTTATTTTAGTTATCCTTATTAAATTTTGTTGTTTGTTTATTAATGATCTCAATGTCAGTTCAATTGAAATTGGATGCCTATCGACTTGCCCATAACCTCCCCACTCAAAGAAATCGAGCCCTCCTTTCTGAATGAATGAAATTTAATATCGTGAATTAGGACACAAGTATAACTAATCCTAACTGGTGTTGGAAATCCTGATGGAAGACAACACTTTTATGATTGTCTTGTCTCCAAATTCTTAAATTGAAGTTTAAAGGCCATCCACTGACAAAGTGAGTGATTCTTACCGAATCATTGTCGGATAAGATGTAGAATAATATATTCATGCCCGACTTCTCACACTATTTAATTTTGGTGGTAGAGGTTGAAGGGGTGGGGAAATAAAATGGGCTGTGTATATCTTGAGCAGGATCAGCCTTAACGACAATTTTTCTATTAGCATTTATAGTTTCTTTATAAAACCCTATCTTCAAAATTAAGCTTTCTGCCATTTTATAATAATTAAAAATATAAAAAGTTTTTAAAATAAAATATCATAACAGATGGTGCCACATGCAGTTTTAAATGTTGCCAGGAAAGTTAAGCAACTCATTGCTGGATTTTTATTAATATGATATAGTAAACAGAGTAACAAATATAGAAGACTAAGGAGGGATTGAATGCATGCAAAAACAAATGCATTCAGTTTTATTTTATATTTTAGTTCTTTCTATGTAGAAAGAGTTAAATCTCAAAATCCCCTATATGAATAGCCTTGCAATGTACAGTACAGTTTATCATTAAGTGCAATGGCTTTAAAAATGCACTTTAATAACAATAAACATAAAACAAAAACTTGCTGTTTTAGTCTTGGTTAAATTTAAGAAAAGGTGGTCACCCTAGTTGACATAGTTCATATTTTTACATAGATTTGGCATTATTCTTTAGAATTTCTATTGTAAAACTGAAGACATGATATCAAGTTGATGTAGAAAATATACACACTATCCTAACCAAACAAACAGATCCAGTATTTCCGTTTAATTATAAAGTAAGCATTTCTAAAAAGAAACTTACTTTTAAAAAATGTGTTCGATGCATTGTTCAAGTTCTCCTTGATTTAGAATAAAATGTTTATAATAAATTGTTGATATTTTAAAATTATACTTTATTTATCATTATATATTTATTTGTATTTATTTTTATGTTGCCTTTCTGAATAAACTTTGATATTTTAAAAATACAAAAAGTAGAAAGATAGATAAAAACACTTTTAAAAATTAGGGTGTAAAAAATGTCATTAATTTTATATATAAAATAATATAATATTGATAAAAAACATTAAAGTTACTTTATTAAAATCTATAAATATATTTAATATTAATATTAGTCGTTTTCTTAACAAGAGTAAAAGTTTGCACACAATCTAAATAGCAAATAGTTTCTCTAATTTTATATTCAAAACATTATATAATTCTATTTTTTATGCATCAGTATTTTTTCTCCATAATTTATTATTATTTTTTTGTCATAACAACAATATTAAATTTTTATAAATTTGAATTTCAGGCTGTTTTGACAGAAATATCTCTAAATTAACTAAAAATTATAATGTAAAATTATTCTTTTTATATTAATTTTATATGTAAAAGTTTCAGAGTAAATGTATTATTATTTTAATTAATCTCAAATATGTCCAGTTTAAGTTTAAAGTACATCGAAATAAAACAAATAATTAATTGCATCAGAGATATATTTCTTTAGAAAAGCCAAAAGCCTCTGTTTTAATTCAAAATTATATTATTGATGTAATATTTTACACCAAATGAATAAAACAATGTATGAACTAAATTGCTAAAGATGAACTAGACACTGTGGTTATTTAACTGAATTAATTAATGCACTTTTAACAGTGAGTGAAGTTTAAAGAACACTTAACATTTTCAACCCAGTTAACAGGCCATCTTCATTCATGCAACTGTTCACATTTGAAGATTTCCATTGACTGGGTGAAAAACAGCATTCTTTAATTTTCATTCATTGTTAAAGTTACGTTGATTAATTCAGCCTAATAAAAATGGTTATAATATAAAGAAAAAAAAAACTGATGCATAATTAAGCAACCTGCAAAGTATCTTTCATTCTGGCATTATAAAGCAACACAATTTATTAAAAGAAAAAACAATTTTATATTTAAAAAAATGCATATCTATTAATATTAAAAATTTCATGCTTAAATTAAATATTAAATAAATCATGCATTTGAATGAATGTAAAAAAAACATTACAAAATGCATGCTAATAACTTGTTAGTTGTACATATCAGCAAAAATGGATAATATTCTCATGATTGATTAGATTCCAATTAGTATTATTGTTTATTCATCATGCGTTTCACAATAAAAATTTGTGCCAACCTGGGAAGAAGATATCATTTTCATTTCTTTCTCTTCATTTTGTAACTTCTGATTTTTGGAACTATCTGAATCAGTGGATTTTTTTGATGATTCGCTAACATCTTTGCAAACATTTTGTAAAATTTGTTCTTTATCAACTACATTTTCAAACAATTCATCATTATTAGTTGTAGAATGAAACAGATGAGTTACTATTGTATGAGAATCCTCATCAGTAATGGATGTAGCTATATCTTGTACTCCTTCTGTTCGGTTTATATTAAAATCATCAGTTTTAATATTAGGATTCTGATTTTCTGGACGATTTAATGGAAGATTATGCACCTGTTCATCTGTAATTTCAATTTTATCATGTTTATTTTCAGATAGAGGTAACTGTATTGGTGAGCTTTCTTGAAAATTATCTTCGTCCGTTTCTATCTGACTGTCACTATGCTCATAATTTTCCAAATAGGCATGCATTGGCAATTTTGAAGTTGATAAATCACTCTTTATGACAAGCTTTTCTAATAAATTAAATCTTGGCAAATCAGAAAGTTTAATATTTGATATGAAATGTGAAATTTTTTCTTTTTCTGATAAGTCTGGAGATGGAGGTATTGATAAACACCCTTCTTTAGTTAAACTAGAAAGACCGGAATCCGACGTCCCGGATGGAGATGCACAGCCGTCAGAGAATAGAGCAGAATGTGGTCGATATTCAGAAATATGAATTACCGTATCTCCTATGGCACTCGTCAAAGACAAATTTGCTGAGCTTTGTAATAATATTGATCTCTTAGTTAACGGTGAAGCAAGAATTTTCTTTAGTTTTTTCTGTTTACATTTTTTAATTTTGGTACAAACTTTTGGCATTTTAAGATCAACTTCTAAACAACTACCTTTATGCTCTTTTTCATTTGATGTTGAAGCAACAGGAATTGATTCTGGTGAAACATGAAGAGAATCATTTGTTGTTTTGTTGCTTTGAAACAATTTTGCCTTTTTTCTTTTCTTCTTCTTCTTATTCTTTTTTGTAGATTTTTCAACATCTGTACTGTGTGATGAAGCTAAAGGATGTTTAATGTCTTTGTAACTTTCAGATTTCTTTTCACAAAAATTTTCTGTAGTAGGAACACTAACATTTGATTTATCTAACGTATTTTGATGAATATTATTTCCTATTGCATCATTAAATTCTGTATTTGCTGTAACTGATTCACTATCATATATATTGCTGTCTTTTGAGATATTGTTTTGATTATTTTCATTTAAACTGTAGTTTCCATTTGATGTAGTTTTTTCATATTTATTATTTAAATTGATCTGTGAAATAGTTCCTGAGGTATCAAACCCACAGTCAGATCTTGGAGGATAATTGATGGTAACACTATTATTATCGCTGCCTCTGTTCAACTGGTGCATAGTTACACCCTCCTCCATGTTGAACAGAGGCCTATACTCGTTTTTTTGATTCGTATTATCAGTGCTTTGTCCTAAAAAAGACTGATTCTCTTGATCATCTTTTTCTTCTTCTTCAACTTGTTCCCACCAGTCTTTCTCATCCAATTTTGGACGAGTTCGGTGATCAGAAGCCACCTCTAAAAAAGACTGCTGGGCTCTTTGAGGATCATCGTCATCTGGAGGTATATTTTTGTCTTCAAATTCCTTTGAAGTCGTTTCTTTTTTACTTAAATCTGGCTGCTTTGGAGAACTAGCCATTGGTGATGGAGGTGTTCTTTTCTGCAATTGAGGATCAACTTTTAAAGAAAAAAATGGAGAAGGACTCCTTCCTCTTCTATCTAACGTAGGAGATCCAATCACAGCAGGAAGTGGACTTCCTATTCTCGCTACTTCTGCATAAGTTAATTTTCTGGTATCGGGTGAAGCAGAACGGGGTGATTCTGTTGGAATATAAGTTTTAATTTGTTTTTGAGTATGAGTGGTTTGACTATGAGATAATTGCCTTTCTTCACCTATTTTACGTAATGTTTCCATAGAACTTGAAGATGACTGAGAAGATTCTGATGTCTCTTTAACAATAAATGAATGAATTTGATCTGAAGGTTCTGTAACAATTTGTGTTGACAAAGATATATCATGAGTTGGTTGTGAAGAAGAAAATACCTCTGAAGGTTGTAGTTTTTCGGGAATATGAAAAGCAGAATGAGTAGTATCGGTAGGAAGAGATTGAGAATGCATCATTTGGCTAGATGTAGTTTCTGGCTGTTTAGGAAAGATAGGTTCTGGTTGAATACAAAATAATTTTCCATTTGTATCTACAGGAATAGAGGTGGAAGGGTAAACTGGACAATCTGTTGTGTAGGTCTGATGAGAAAATTTTGACATTTCTTGTTTTTCAACAGTACTTTCACCTTCAGAAGTTTTGATTATTTCCTTTTGATAAGAAGACATCATATGACCATCTGGTGTTGGAGAACTTACCAATAAGCGCTCTCGTTGTTGTGGAGTAGGTGGAGTACTTGGAGTGCCTGGTCTGGGACTTGCACGTCCCGATACAATATCAGCATAAGATGGTTTAGAAAGAAAACCACTAGCCCATGTTGGAGACTGACCATGATCAGATGAAGAAATTGGTGAAAACTGAATATCTGCTTTTGGACTTGATGAGGCTGATGAAGAAATGTCTCCTGATTCGCTACTTATTTGCACCTTCCTCTGTTTCTTTCTTGCTCCTGTGCGCTTAGGTGATTCAGGCACTTGAGATGTTATTGGTTCATCTTTTTCAATTATTTCTTTAGATTCAAATACAAGTTTTTCAGGTTTGATAATTTGAGTTTTAATTACTTTTGATTTAACTTGGTGAGAATATGAAATTGTTTCAATTGTTGATGTAGTAACTTGACTAGTAGCTTCTTCTTTAGCCTGACTGGAAGAATCATCTAAAACTTTAACTTGCATTGTTATATCTGGCGTTTTTCTATCATATTCAGTTTTCTTTTCATCTTTCTTTGTGACAGTTTTAATTAATTTGCTTTCTACTAAAGGACTGGCCTCACGTGAACGAAACACTAAAGGACTAAATCTTCCCGAAGCAACAGCAGCATATGATAGGCGGGGAGAATCTTCAGCTTGAATTTGAGATATGGGTGAATATCTTACTTCTTGATATCTTTGTCCCGGAAATATACTTGGCGATGGCTCACGACTAGATGAAGGAACATAAATTTTAGGAGGTTGAGGTATAGCCAGAGTCGTTGACGGTAATGATTCCATATGAATTTTATACAATTCTTTATCGGGTATTTTTGTTTGATTAAGTCTTTTAATGCGATCTTGAAGATCTGAAATTTGTTGCTGGTATCTCTTGATTTGATCTTTTAAGGCCTGTTGTGAATGGTTGTTTCATAAAAAAAAAATATTTAACAAAATATTAACTAAGAAATAATTCAAAATATAAACAAAAAATATACAAATATAAACACACAAAAATAAAATATTCTACTGAATAGATAAGTAAAGAGAAATAAAATTTTTATTAAAATATTTAACTCAAATGTATAATAATAAATAATAATAATAAATATAATGTAAATATGAATTAATAAGAACATACAAAAAATAACATAATTGATAGTTTGTACTGATAAGATTATATTAAAAACTCAACAATTCTTCTGAAATAAAAAAATGAATTTTGACACCATTCCTCCAATTTACTTGCCTGAAAATTTTTCCTAATTTAATGAAAAGAATATAAAAATTCAATGTAAATTATTATTTATGAAAAAAATTTTATACAATTTTAATAAATACAAGTTTATAAAGAATATAAATGTATATAATGAGTTACCTGATATTAAAAATATTAAGATTAACTCATTATTTGCAAATAATCTTCAGTTTTTCAAATTCATACAAGAATTTAGCACTGATTTAAATATGTTTATCATCATTAATATTACAAATTACTTTATATATGTATTTTACTATTCCTCATCAATTATTTATAATTTTAGGCATTTAAAACTGCTAAATACTATTAAAATAACAAAATTGGAAAAAGGTAGTGGAATACAGCCTTAAGTATTAACAATAATAAATTTTATTATAACTAATATCAATGTTTTGATGGAATAATATGAAAACAAAGAGTGCTTTTGTGCAAACCCATCTTCAAGTAAAAAATGCCAAATGATTACAAATAAAATTCCAAATGTATATCTGAAAGACACATTTGAACATAGAGAGAAAATTGCATTATTTGAATTATGCTGTCATTCTTCATATGGTACTTAAAACAATGAGTCATTCAAACTGTGCAAGAGTGCTTGCTGGCTGTCAGAAAAAGATAAGTAACGTGATATAGCATTAGACACTAACAGTTATTAGAGAGGTTACAGCTGACGTTTTCATCATAAAAATGTGTACATTGGACATTCAGCACTGCCTTTCCTGTAAGCCTAGAAGTTTGACAATGAAGTTGTTTTTTTGTGTGCATGCAATGATGATCTCATTGTCTGAGAAGGAACATTATAGAAAATTCTAAAAAAATAGCTGCTTTCTTAATAAACAGTATCCAATAATCATTCTGTTTCAAAGATCAAATTTTCAGGTTATAAATTAAATTTTACCTCTATTTTTTGTGAATATCTGAAAAAAATTAGCGATTTCAAATATTCCAAGCCAAAAAGTAGTTGGTAGTTTCAAAAATTTAATGGTAAATTTCTTTTTTCTTCATTTATCAAGAGCAACATACCTACAAGGTTGTTTACATGACTTGATAAAGAACAGCAGTAACCATTATACAAATACTACAGAATTCTGAACTGTAGCTACTTCATTGTATGTTGAGAATAATTTGTTTCTTCAGAAATTAGTAAATATTTATCAATTATTTTTATTTATTTTATTTATTATGCTTTTCTTTTCTACATTAATGAAAGAGATTTTATCAAAGTCTCTTCTATTTTTTATTATTAAAGTTAATAATTTCCTAGCACCATTATTTATTAATTGTACTATAATCAAATATTAAATCACTGCTTGGCCTTCAAGCAATGATTTAATTTTTGTTTCTAGTACATAGTTTATAGCCTTCTCTTTTTCTTCTTTAACACAGTTTTAATAAAACTTCATAACAGAGATCCCAAACAATTTCATTAATCAATTCACCAAAAGGTATTGGCATCAAAAACATTCATGCTAATCTTATACATCATGGTTTGAAACTGACATTGCTAGTTATTCTGTAAATTATTAAAACTTCTTGGTAGTTAGGAAGATGATAAATTTGGAGCCCTTCTAATGACAATAGTAAATGATAAGGAAATTCTTAACCTTTGTCAATTAACTGTTACTGGTGTTTTTCATAACATATTTACTCAGATGATCAGATTACATATTCTTATCAATATTAAAAGCATTTTTGAAAGTTTGCAAAACCAATCACATATTGATGAAACTTCAAAAATTTAGCAGATTAATAACAAATTTGTATGGACATCAGTTAAAAGTTCTGTAAGATTTGATGAAAAACATATTTGACTTAATTCTCTAGTATTATTAAATAATTTGTTAATGTTAAATAAATGAATCTGATTTTATCTATTTTATGTTTTTTTCACTTTTTTCAGTTTTTTTTGAGATAACATTGTTGAAGAATTACTGCTTTTTTTAAAATCTCTCACATCAATAAAGCTAATACAAGAAATTCTCATTAATTTGAACTCAGATAGTTTGAAATGTACTATTTATCCCAGCCACCAATATAGAGATTTACATGTTAAGGAATTAGGTTACTTCAAAATACAGTTACTTTGAAATTTGAAGTGAAAATTCTGTCTGAATTTTCACTTCAAATTTCAAAAATTCTGTCTGAAGATTCTGTATATTAACTCACTTGTTTAGACTGAAGTGCCTCCATACTGTAAAACAACATAGACTAAGAACAACTCTAATCTGGTCAATATGGCATTGCTTTTACAGTAACACATTTTCAGATGTTGCCTTACCCTTTTTTCTCTAATTTCATAAAATACAGAAATGTGACAATCATTCATCATTTCTGTATATAAAATTAAATTGTCAGTTACAAAACCTTCGTACATAAGCTTCTAGAATGTTCCATTGCTCAATATTACCTGGAGGGGCAATAAATCCAGTGGGGAGCAGGAGAGGGTATATAGTGACTTGTGGTTGAGATAGCAACTCTCTTTTATTTTTGGTGCCATTACAGGAAGAACACAAAGGTGACTGGTGATGATGGAACTGTACAAAGAAAGTTAATGAACTCTACTCCAATCAATGAGATGACCAGGAGAAGACAGTGATTATGCGACACGAAGATTTGAGGAACTTCTGTCTCCTCTTACTGCAGTTTTGAATCATGAGGTAATAATAATACAGGTAACGAGGATTACCTGTATTATTATTATTAATTAACAAAAATATCTTTCTGTGTATGTAGCTGTATTCCATTTGCTTAATAAATTACATCACTTATTTCTGTATAATATGTCAAATGCCACATATGTAAATCTCGGACAATTCAAAACTCGATAATTTGAAGTTGCGATTATTTGTCCCTTGAATTCAAATTAATGAAGTGAGGGGACCATTAATGGTTCCTCTAAATAGTTGAAGTTAGTCAGATCGCTCAATCCGATCGCATCCGCAAACGGAATCGTCGTGGCGTCGAGTTATATATTCTAGGGTTGAAAGAGGGATCCGAATGTCGTATTCACTAGTTTATTTACTGATAATTACAAATCTATGTACAGATGGTTAGAACAACGCCGATCCTGTAGACAAAAGTCGGAGAGAACGGGATGAGCGTCCGGACCTGAGCACGTCGACCCAAAGAGTGTGAACCTCGACCTCTGACGTCACACGGGTTGGGGACGGTGGTCGGCGCAGTGTTGCCGACCGCCGCAGTACCCCCTTCCTAGTGTAAACGATCGTGAGACTAGAGAAAACGTGCTGGGAAACGGACGCGTCTTCCGGAGCACGTCGTGGTTTTGGTTTCTTCTGCTTGTTTCGAGTGCGTGGTGCTCGATGGTTTCAGATCTTGTATTTCTGTTGAACGGGGAACTTGTCCCGTGTCTGTCTCTTGTTTGTCGTCTGTTGGTGGTTTGTCGCTTGATGAAAGATGTTCCGCTAGACAGTAAGCTGGTTTAAGTCTGTCTATGGAGATGACTGTCTCTTTTTGCCGTACGCTGACTTTGAAAAATTTGTCTGCACGCTGCAGTACGGGAAATGGTCCGTCGTATGGCGGTTGCAGAGGTGGCCGGTGGCCGTACAGCGTCGTGCCACACGAAAACGTGGGTGCAGCTCCGTAGGTCCTGGGGGACGAAAATTTTCTTTGTCCCGTGACATTTCGTTGGATTTGGTGTCAGTTGATGCATTTGTTCTTTGAGATGCTGGACGAAAACTGCTGCGTTTGAGTCTGTCGGTGTAGGGGCGAGGAACTCGCCGGGTAATCGTAAGGTTGTCCCATAGACGAGTTCGGCGGTTGTTGCCTTGATGTCTTCTTTAAAAGGCGGTTCGCATCCCTAGCAGCACTGATGGTAAGACCTCTGTCCAGCAGTCGGTCAAGCAAGCCTTGAGAGCCGATTTAAGCCGATTTAAGTCTGCAGTGGCTATTCTCCACCAGGCTGTTGGCCGCTGGGTGAAAGGCTGTCGTGTGTATGTGCTTGCTGCCCAATAATTTGATCAAAGCTCGGAACAGGTGCGATTCGAATTGTCTACCCTGATCAGTAGTGACCGTCTTTGGTACACCGTAACGCGTGACCCATTGACCGTAAAAAACCTTTGCTACAGTCTCTGCCGTACAGTCGGCAATCGGGAAAGCCTCCACCCAACGGGTGAACCTGTCAATAAGTGTGAGGCAATATATGTTACCTTGCGAAGGCGGAAGGGGACCTACAATATCCATGTGCACGTGTTCGAAACGGGCGTCAGGGACCTGAAGATTTTGGACAGGGCTCCACGTGTGCCTATGGACTTTCGCTCGTTGGCATGGTATGCAGGTTTTGGCCCACATACGAGAGTCCTTTCTGATTGAAGGCCAAACAAAACGACTAGTTATTAATTTGGTGGTAGCTCTTATACCGGGATGAGCCAGATTGTGTGTGGCGTCGAAAACTTGCTTGCGGAATTTAATCGGGATATATGGGCGAATTTTGTTCGTGGATATGTCACAGAATAGATCGGGGCCTGCATCCGTTAAAGGCATTTTCTTCAGCTGTAAGGCCGTATTTGAAGAAAGTAGTCGCTTTAATTCAGGGTCGCTGCTCTGAGCTTGCGCGATGCTCGTGTAGTCTACTGCGTTTGGCACTTCGATAGTTTCGATCCTCGACAATACGTCCGCCAGTGTATTGTCGCTGCCTTTGATGTAGCGGATGTCCGTGCTGAATTGCCCTATAAGGTCCAAGTGCCTTAATTGCCTAGGGGTGCAATTCTCAGGCTTCTGACTAAAAGCATACGTCAGTGGGCGATGGTCTTTAAAGACCGTAAACTCCCTGCCTTTGAGCATGTGCTTGAAGTGCCTTATTGATGCGTATATGGCATAAAGCTCTCTATCGAAAACCGACCATTTTCGTTGCGGCTCCGTTAATTTGGCCGAGAAAAAGGCTAGTGGCTGCATCTTCGGTGTGCCATTTGAGGGGTCGACTTGATTTAGCGAGCCGCTGATAGCTATGTCGCTTGTGTCGGTAAAAAGTGCCAATTGCGCGTTTGGATTTGGGTGTGTTAATAGCGTTGTGTTAGCTAATTCCTCCTTGCAGTGGTGGAAAGCATTGGTTGTCTCCTCGGTCCACTGGATTTTGCTGTTGGATTTAAGATTCGGTCCTTTTAGTAACTCATTCAGTGGGGCTTGTGCATGAGCTGCGTTTGGGACATTTCTACGATAATAGTTGAGTAGTCCCAGGAAACGTCTGAGCTCACGGATCGTTGTTGGAATTTTATACGCCAGTATAGGGTTTACGCGTTCGGGTAGTGGCTTAATGCCCTCCTTGCTGACTAAATATCCCAAAAACGGTAGCTCTGGTGCCCCCAATATACATTTGCTCAGATTTACCTTGACGCCGTACTCGGACAGGCGATGGAAAACCGCCTCTAGGTGCATCTCATGCTGCTCCCTCGATTCGCTGGCGATTAAAATGTCGTCGAGGTATGCGAAGGTAAAATCGAGCCCTTGGAGTACCTCATTTATGAACTGTTGGAAAGTCTGTCCGGCATTGGACAAACTGAAAGGCATGAACATGAATTTGAAAAGACCAAAAGGGGTTGTGATCGCGATCTTTGGGATGTCGTCGGGATGCACAGGTACCTGATTGTACGCGCGGACTAAATCGACCTTGGAAAATATGGTTTTGCCGAATAGGGAAGAAGAGAAATCTTGCAAATGTGGTAACGGGTAGCGGTCAGGAATCGTAAGTCAATTCAACGCTCGATAATCGCCCGTTGGCCTGAATTCTCCATTCGGCTTGGGCACCATGTGCAAGGGGCTAGCCCAGTTGGAGGTGCTGGGCCTGCAAATTCCCTGCTCCATCATGTATTGGAACTCCTTCCGAGCCGCCACGAGTTTGGCTGGGTGCAGTCGGCGTGGTTTTGCGAATACCGGCTGTCCCTTTGTTATAATGCGGTGCACGGTGTGGTGTTTGGGTGCCCTGGCCGTCCCTGCGGGGTAAGGATGGAAAATGTCGGGGTACTTCTCCAGGATACTCCGATATGTCGACGAGCTGGCTATCAGCGTTACTTGCGTAACTTCCGTTTCGATCTTTTTGCCCATGGTGACTAAGTTGGTAATTGAGTCTCGGAGACGTGCGCCCTTTAGGTCGATTAACAATCCGTATTTCCGCAGAAAATCGGCACCTATGATTGGCTTACTGACGTCCGCTAGAACGAACGGCCACTGAAAACGGCGACAGAGGTTGAGCCCGAGCGTAACTAACTTGGTACCATACGTTCGTATCGGTGTACCATTTGCCGCATAGAGCTTCACGGCGTGGGAGTTGTCCCGCGTGCCGTTTCCCACGAAGGGTAAAACGCACACATCGCTTCCGCTATCCACCAAGTAGTCACGGTTGGAAACGGGGTCGAAAATGAATAAACGGCTCTTGTTATTGGGTCGGAAATCGCACCGGGCCGTTTCGTGCGATTTCCTTATGGGTTTCCCGACTGGCGGAAAGAGCATGGAGAGCGGCAGCGTTTTGCCTCGCTCCCGTATTTTTGGTGATACCAGCAAAGGTGGCTAGCCTCTCCCTTGGGCGTCTTTGAGCGCCGCCGCCAATGTCCACTGCCTTGCCTGGACTTGTCTCGGGGCCGAGCTAATCGTTCAATTCTCTGACTAAGGGATTCTATTTGTGCCTGGAGCTCGCTTAACTGGACTTGTGTATTATCGGGGCCTTTTTGGACTTCGTCGACGTTCGCATGCGTTACCTCGCCTATTTTGTCGGCCATGATGGCCAAGTTTTCTAACCCGTCGTCGGAGGCTGCCAGGATCGCTTGGGTCTGTTGCGGCAGTCGTTGTAGCCATAAGGTTTTTAGAAAGTCTTCCCCTAATTTATTGTTGGCTAACTGCCTCATTTTTCTTAATAAATGTGATGGCTTTTCGTCTCCCAACGCGATATCTGAGAGTAGCACTTTGATTCGCCTTTGTTCCGAGTCTGAGAAATCGGCGAGCAGTCTGGCCTTAAGTGTATTATAACGATTTTCGGCCGGTGGGTTGAGGACGATGTCGCTTACGTAGTTCAAGACATCGGAGTGGAAAGCAGACACGACAGAGTAGTACTTGGTACTGTCCTTTGTGATGCCCGAAATGGCGAACTGGGCCTCTATATTGGCGAACCACAACTCTGGGGTCTTGTCCCAAAATGGAGGTAGTTTGAGAGCCACTCTGTTCACTTCTGCCGTGGGTTCGGGCTCTGCCATCTTTGTTCAGCTGCTTGACCGGCGTGGAAGATAAAAAGAGGCCTACCTGAATTTCCGTAAATAGCGTCTGGGCTTGGGAAGGTTCGGTGTTGAGCTCCCACGTTGTCGGGTCATGTCCGGCTCACCAGTGAGGGGACCATTAATGGTTCCTCTAAATAGTTGAAGTTAGTCAGATCGCTCAATCCGATCGCATCCGCAAACGGAATCGTCGTGGCGTCGAGTTATATATTCTAGGGTTGAAAGAGGGATCCGAATGTCGTATTCACTAGTTTATTTACTGATAATTACAAATCTATGTACAGATGGTTAGAACAACGCCGATCCTGTAGACAAAAGTCGGAGAGAACGGGATGAGCGTCCGGACCTGAGCACGTCGACCCAAAGAGTGTGAACCTCGACCTCTGATGTCACACAAGTTGGGGACGGTGGTCGGCGCAGTGTTGCCGACCGCCGCAGAAGATTTCCTTTATAGTTATTGTAATTTCCTGCATATAACCCATGGGCTATCTACATATTAAAGTCAATCTGAAAGCAAGTACAGGCTATGTATGTTATAACAATTTTTATAGATTATTTGCTGAGTGTGAGTTACATGCAAGAAATTATGATAGTTCCTGCTACAACTGCTATTCAATTTGCCTCTTTATCAGTTTTCAAAAATTTTTTAAATTGTAAAAATCTTTTTATCTGTTATTCTGTATTTTGTAATCACAAATGCTATGTAAAAAATATTTGCTAATATTCTTCTATGCTTTTTATTTTTGATAATATATCTGAAGCAAAATTCTTTACAGCAATTGAAAACTGAAAATATGACATTATTATTTATTTTATTTAAAATCTTTTAAAAAGTGTTGACAGAACTGCATCAGAGTGCTAGCTGACACTTTCTGAATTCTCTATTCATTAACTTATTGGATAAGGATGATTTTTCATCAGTTGTTTCAATTATAATAGATGCTAAAATATAATTAATTTATAATTATTTGGCTGTTTTAGAAATAACAAACTTTAAGATTATTTTTGGAACTTAGATTTTGATTCACAGAATAAAACCCTCTTTAACTTCTCTACATATGAATTGCAAAATTTGTACTTATTGATGTAAATTTACAATATTATTGTAAATTTTGTCTTTAGTTTTCTTAATAAATTTTACAGTAGAATTCATTCATATCAACGTTTTAACTATAAAATATAATATAAACAATTCTGAAAATCCTTTCAAAAATTATTTATATTTGTGTATGTCTCTGAAGATGGACTTTTGCAGTCTAAAAGCACTCAAAAATGTGAAATTTATTGACAGTTACTCTAATAATATTGGTTTTTATGAATGAATTTATGAACTAGTTCTACTACAAAAGAAATTACTGCCTATCTATAAATCTTTAAAATTATGTCCAAATATTGACATTAAAAATATAAAAGTTTTAATTCAATAATTAATACAACAATATGAAATAGTACAATATATAATACAGTACTAATATTATACTATAGTACAGTATCATAGTAGACAATTTTATTTTGATATATGATTTATAAAAATAATTTTTAGAAAATATGAATATGCTTTTTTATTTAAGTATTGAGATATTAAATTAATTGCAAATGATATAAGACAATAATTACAAATCGGTGGTATGTTCTGGCATTCAAAATATTATTGCAGTCTTTACTATCACATAGACAACACAAAAGACTGCACTTATATTTTTGATATGCCAAATAACTGATCTTGAGAATCTTATATATTAAATAAATTTTGTAATTTTTATGAATGTTGAAGTCATTTTAAAATTACAATATGCATTGAAATTAAACATAAGTTTTACATAAACCAAATTTTCTGTCATTAAATACAGCAGCAAGCAAAAACTGGATATATAAATAAAATCAACATATAATATCAAAATCTAGCAAAAACATGTAATGTATGTCTTCTGGGATTAGTACTTGGACAGCATCCATCAATCAATAAGCTCTTCTGTTTTTCAAGTTCAAACATCCATCATGTTCATTTTATTTTTGAATTATTTCAGTCTAATAATGACCATTTAATAGGGAAGAAAACATTTCTACAGTATGTTTTTACATGTTTTTTGCAGGAGTTTTGGTATTGTGTGTTGGTTTTCTTTTCTGTCATTTACATCTTCTTCTTAAATGAAATCTGACTGGTTTATCATGTATTATGTAATGATAGCTCAATGCAATCACTGATGCAGCATTCACTATACCACAATTCATATAATTTTTTGCTAAACTGTTTTATTTTATAGTTTCTTATTCTTATAAAAAAATTTTATATGTTAAAATTAAAAGTAACTAAACACAAAAAATTCTTGATGATCTACCAATCTTACCAATAATTAGTTCTCTTTTTCAATAATTAGTAAACTCTGGTAAAGTCCAGCAGAGAGTTGATTTAAAATATTTAAAATAAATATTCATAAAAAAATAATTTTTCTTATGATAAAGTAGAAACTTAATATCACAACAACAACAACAAAAAACTCTAAGAATGAATTTTTTAAAAATTAATTCAAGAAATCATACTTACATTTTGCAATTCTGTTAACTTGGGTTTATCTTCAGGAGCAACTGATGTATTAGAAGCTAACTGTTGTTGATGTTCTGCCTGAGTAACTAAATGACGGAGTTGTTGTGTATCTTGTTGATATTTCTCTTCTTGACTTAAACACTTACTTAAATTACTGCACTGATCAGTAAGCAGCTGTTGAAATTCTTCCAGATCCCGCTGGAGATTCTTTCCTTTAGAAATCACTTGATTTTCACCTGATGCTTTGGTTCTTAGATGAACCTGAAACTTCTCCATTGCCATCATTATTTTAGTTTTTTGTATTGTCATATCACCAAGTATTTTCTGTTAATAATAATATACATTGTAAGTGAAAGTTATCTGTAATAACAATGTTTAATTCATAGTGCTCCTAAACTATGCATGAATATAAATTATACATCAGTTTATATTCTAAGACAAATTATTATTATTTTCTTAAACATATACATGAAATAATTATTATATACAATTGTTTAAAATGTTGGTAAATCAAATAAAATAAATTTTTAAATGTTACAATTTGAAAAACAACTGAAGTAAGTTGATTGTGTTTTGTTTGTGTGTAAATTAAATATTAATAAAAAGGATAAAACTACATTCAAATTAAAATTACAAATTAAATAAATTAAATAAATAATTACAAATTAAATAAATAATAAAGGATAAAACTACATTCAGATTACTTTGGCAAAATCAACAATAATTTGTTACAATAAGATTTAAAGAAAAATTACTTTAAACTGAACCTAAAATACTCAAAATGTATATAATCAAAAATTCCTAAATTGTGGTTTGGATGTGATCTTCCACTACCGACATTTGCTTAAGGAAAGAAGAAAGTGACAAATGAAACTTTACGACTTTATTGCAAAAGAACAAGAATTTCAGAAAAGTCAAGACCTTCATCACAAGAAATGAACTTTACATTTCTGTGTGTATATGTTTATGTGTTATTTAACATATATTATTATACAAATTAATATAAAAATAACTTAAAATTAAAGTAAAATTTGTTTATTTTTGGTCACATGTTCCCCTATCCCTATTTACTCTATGTTAAAATGACCTCATTAAACGTTGTTTCACTTAGCGTTTTCTTGTCTAGGAATGCATCCCCCACATTAAGCGGGGTCTTACTGTATTAATAATAATAGTTTTTAATATCGATTTAACATTAGATAGTGATGTTTATCTGTAGTATCAAACTTATTTAATTAAAGATAAAACCTACTGGAAAAATCACTTAATCAAAACAAGTTGTACCTCAGTAATTTAAGCAAATATTAATGTAACATGTACCATTTATTATAAATATTAGCAGAATCGGTTTGGAATTCCATCAGCTTTGTGATTTTATAAATACATACAACTATTTACACAGTACTCAAATAGCATACTTTTGGTTTAATGCAGTCAAAAAAAGTAACCAAATTTTAACTTACAAGAGTTTCAGTTTAACACAGTATTTTTCAGTGTTTTATTTTAAAATTAAGTACAGTAATACCCCGAACTTACATGATAGGTGGGACCAAGCGATAACCGCATAAGTCAAATTTGCATAAGTCGGGGTATAATTTCGCAATTTGTGTAAAATCCAAGTCAGATGTATGTAAGCTAATAAATGTTCTTGTTAATCTTATCTCGTCTTTTGGTTCATTCACGGTTACAAGAAATCACCACAGAGTTTCTCAAGTCTCCGTAGATATAACAAACACAGAAATAAATAACACAAAATAAATTGTAGCTATGTGTCGGTTCTGCACGACACATCTGAACATGTAAGCGGAACAATAGTGTGGGGGGAGTGAGTAATCAAGAGTTGCGTGGCACTCAAACAAAAGAGGAATCGACGAGATTTGAAAATTGTGTAAGTCCAGGTTCGCGTAAGTCGGGGTAGCGTAAGTCAAGGTATTACTGTATTTTTATTACTTTGCTAAAAGCATCAACATACTTAACTGATCTTCTCCTTCTAGGACACTTTAAGTGCATGGACAGAAGTATCACATCATACTCACAAAGGTGTCAACGGTCTCTATGTTAATATAGGACTTTCCGATCCACAAGCTGCCAAACAGGGCATTTGTTTTGTGGACTATGAATGGGTAGTTCATTTGTACAGGTATCATGCAACCCACAAGTTGTGGGTATGCTTCTTTGTGCACGGCACCATTGTCTTCAATGTTTATACGTTTATTTGTAACTATCATTGTTGTTATCATTGTATATATTTGCTATTTTGTACATTGTCAATTTATTTTTAATAAATGCGGTGCGGACGACATGGGAACCCATGGAACACAACTTTCCTTTTACCTTTCCTATCCATCTTTTCACTTCACCTTCACCTAAACCCTTCTCAAACTTTACACCTTCTTTCCACTTCCTACTTCTGGGCTATACCAAAGAGTGAGGCCCACTAAACTCCAGGATGTATTTTTATTGATAAAATTAATGCTTAGGACTCTGCCAACCATTATAATATTGCAGTCACATCACATCTGCTTTCAACTTACAAAAAGTAACTTGATTTTCTATTTTGTATTATATGTTAACTTTGCACTGCATGCATAAATGCAGCTCCATATCAGAAAATTTTGAAGAATTAAATAGAAATAATAAATGAACTTTGATGACAGATTTTATTGAGACAAGATCATCATGTACAGGGCTGGAGTGGAAACAAAATTTTGTGAGATTGGGGAACTGATTTTGCACTAAATTAAGGAAATTTTTAGATCAGGATCATTAAGAAAACATTGCACAGAAAATGGATTGAATTTCACCCTTTTCATCAACAACTGCTAAAGAATTATAACAATCTAGTGTTAAATTATAACAATCTATTGTTAAAAGAGGGAAAAGTCAACCTTTGAACAAGTAAACAGGATGAATCTTACAGGTCTTGAACCAAATATGGTACTATCAGCTCCATTTAAATGACATCTTAGCATCATCAACGGCTCACCTATGACCTCACACCTGCAACTGCGTCTCCAAACAGCCTATCACCAGATCATTTTCCCAGGCCTAAGGAAGATAAAAGGAGCTTGAACTCAGGTCTTAGGGCGGACATCCCCAGCACCATATAGTGCAGACATATCCCAACACACCATACAGAATGGACTCCATCATAGAAGGTAACCCAAGTCGTTCCATATTCTAGAGGGACTCCACCCAAGGCTCCAGTCTTGCCATAGTCTCAACCTATTCCAAGGTTGACATAGGCCACGGCCATACTCAACTGACACTCTCCAAGAAGTGACCAGCCCAGCTTCCATCTGTCTCAGTTCGCATACTCTACGTGAAGACCGATGATGACTCAATACTACGAGAGGTCAACTGATCAGTTACACACTAGAGGTAATACACTTAAAGAATTGAATACACTTAAAGAATTGTAAACTCTTTCTCTCTCGGTCTACGTAACCATAGTAGATAGAAACGTAAGAACAGTATCCCTAGAACCTCACGAGTGAAATAATTACTCTTTGTATTTAGATGTGTATTTCATAGTATCTGGTAAGCTAGGATATATATTAAAATTTTATTATTTGCTAACCTGTCTGTCTTTCTTGGAATCACGGATACCCTATCGACTTACCCATCACACTCCCCATTCGACTAATGGCCCTCCTTTAATTAATGTTCCAACTCTGAATCGAAGAGATTGGAATCATCACAAGTTAGCATGCATTTAACTCTATCCTGATGTCAAAAGGATCTTGCAATCCCAATGACAATTTATCAAATAGTCATCCAGTGACAAAGTGAGTGGGTTTTACCAACTCAACAACTAGAGGGCTAACTCTTGCATGTATTCTCACAATTTGGTCCTGGCATGTTATTAAAAACAACCTTCTAAAAAAACCTTGGTCAATTAAAGGAAAAATAAAACTAAGTTTCTATTAATAATTAAAACTTACTTCCTAATTACAAATTACTTAATTTGATACTAATGTTTTTGACCAATTAACAGATCATCCTCCCAAAGCCTGACGTATTAATACTAAACCAAACAATCGCTGTAATTAATTGGGCTATTTTTTGCTACAATTAATAATTATAAATTAAGTAATTTGGTATTAGAAGTAGACGTTAGGTGTTATCTTTTATCAAAATTAATATAATTATAATAATTTAATATTTATTAAATAATTTAGAACAATCTGAAAGAAAAGAATCAGCCCGGAGCAACCTCTGCTTACTGTGCAGTATGCTGTGCACTGGGTAGCACATATAGTAAATAGGTTGCAGGTTTGACTCCTGCTTCAGGTCGATTCTTTTCTTCCAGCTGTTCTAAATTATTTAATAANAGGTATTTAAGACGGACATTGACCGGTTAGGGGACACTCTCGTGCCGAGTGATTTAGAGGAGTTGGTGAATGTGAAAGTGCTCCTTCTACTGTGAATTAGTTTTTCTTTGTTCCCGAAGCGGATTTGGATTACAAGGAGTGAAACACCTAGAACTATGATATTGTAACGGTGAGAACATTTTATGTGTATACCATTGTATCCAGTGGACCTTAGTGTAATTGTACGAATATATATATATAAACTTATGAAAGAACAAAAAACTGTTTCTTGGTATCCTTTCCCACGTGGTAATTCACCTACACTTACAATTAGCAAGACCTCTAAGTCTTACGATTTTCCACAGTTCCCTTCTTCCTGCCTGGCAATATCTTCTCACTTTTTCACATCAACTGCCACCATTGTAACCCACCTCCTTGCTTGTTTATTTGTTTATGTAGTGTTATTTTATTATTCGAACTACAATTTTATCATTGAAATGATAAATTTAATTTTTAATTTAATGGATTGAAATATATCTGTTATTTCTAAATAAAAAATTTTATAAATTTAGTAAGAAACTAAGTAACAATTTTGAAACAAACTAGAAAACTTTAAAATTACTTTTGATAAATAGCTAATTAATTACATGACTTTCTTATAAAAACAGACGAAGAAAATATAAAATTAAGTAAATCAATTACTTTATAGGTTTTTACCATATGATTAAAGTAAAGATGAACTGATGTAAATCAAAGTTTAAATACATTTCATAAATTAAAAATATAATTACTTCTCTCATGCTTATTTGATCCCTTAATCCTTTCTTCTTAGCTACTGCTGATTCAAGATTATTTTTTGATCTTTCCATCCATGTAGTAACTTCCTTAATTTTCCTTTCACATTGCTCCCATTCTTCTACCATTTCTTGAAGAAGAGCAACTTCTTCTTGTAAACGGCTTTCAGTGCTGTTCTCTTCTTGTTCAATTTCGTCCAATTTGTCAGCTAATTCCCCCGGATCACAGACATTTGTTATATTTTCTAAGTATTTTGACATATCTGATAAATAATGTTGAGCTTGTGGAATCTCACTTGCAGCATCCTATTCAAAATGAATATAATATATATTTACTATATTTTCTAATTTGAATTATAATTAAATAGTTTTGAATTTTATTTAATTTTGATATTTATCTATAAAGTAAGATTAGTAAAATTATCTTATTTAAGATTTAAATTATATATTAAAACAATATAATACCTGAAATTCAGAAAGCTTTTGCTTAGCTTCAGAAAGTACATTTAATTGCATTTGTTGTCCTAAAAGGTTTGAAATCTTAATGAGCCATTCATTCAACAGATTATAACATTTAAGAAACAGTTGTTGGTTAGCTAAAGCTTCTTCAATTTGTTTCCTTCTTTCTTCAATCCATGAATCAACTTGTGCAAACTGATCTGAAATAGAATTTATTGTGCTACTTATAACATTTTTTTCTTCATTATTTCTTGTATTTTCCATTATTTGGTATCCATTTTTCTTTATTTGTTCCAACAGATCTCTCATTGATGGAAGTTCGGAAAGAAGCGTCTGAAATCATTAAATATTTTTTATTTAAATACCAAATTTAATAGATAATTTTAAAAGTTTCTGATTTAAAATACATAATTACAGATTCTAAATCTTTAACAAGAATATGAACCTAATAAAACTAAAAATTGTTCTTTCAATCTGTTGGCCACAGAAAGAGACGATGTTTGATTTTATATCATGTTACTAACAACAAATACTATAAATAACAATCCGGGATATTCAATTAAAAAGTTAACAAGTGATTCAGTGCCTCTAGCACAGAATTTCTCAAGCTTTTTTCTCACATGACCCAATATAATTTTTTTGGTTATGCTACCCAAATGTTTACCAGGTTTTTAAAAAATTTTATATTATAAACTGGAGTCACTGTATACAATATAAAAAAATAGAAGTTATTTTATCAATAATGAATAATTTTATGTGTGAAATGTAACATTGAGTACATTTCTATTGAGAGTAGTTCAAGCCAATTTTGATTTAAAACAAATAATTTACTTCAATTTCAGATTTATTACTGAAATTTAATCATAAAAAATGTAAGGCTGACAATTGTAAATAAAGCAGGCCGTTTCAAAACTATTCAAGAGTCTATTTTACTTTGAAAAATACTGTATTACAATTTTTTTATAAACTTAATGAACCCTTTTTTAAAATGTACTTTTCAAATTGTAAGAATATTTTGTCAATTTTATTTTGTACATACATAAAAAAATTCTTTAAAAATTATTTATTGTTCCACTTGTGTCAAAATGCACCCATTACTTATTTTTGGGCTGCAATTTAAAAAGCTTCTAGACCTATTAATTCCCACTGTTGTCTGTCTTTCCTTAATCTCAAGAATGGAGTTAGATAGATGAAAGACGAGACCAGATATGGAAACCTTAGGGACAGGAGGTCCCGACTATATACATACTTCCAGTTTGCACTGGAAGTCACATGATTTCAATTCAAAAAACTTTCCCCAAAAGGTGTTAGATTGTTGATCAGCACAGCTCTATTGTTAAAGGAAAAGTATGATGTACAAAGGCAAGTCACTACTAATTTGAGGTGGAGAGAATATATTTTAAATTAAATAAATTAATAATGTGATTAAAAATTGCAGCCTGGCATTGTGACAATGTCACAATAAATAATTGCTCATTCATAATTTATTGTTATGTATGACAATAAACCTGAAAGCTTGAACAAACATGGAAATATTTTCAAATCAAATGCAACTTAAATGGCTTTATGACTATGACCTTACATAAAATATCTATTACATAAAAGCAAAATCATTTCATATACATACATTCTATAATCTTTATTATTATCATTTAGTGATAAAATAATATAAGAAAAAAATTGTTAAAAATTTTTAGTACTTAACAAATGCATCTATTGTTCCTAGTTCTTAGAGAATATTTATGTAGTATTTTTTTGAAATTCTTTTCACACTCTGTGATCACTAAGAGGGCCTCTTTTAGCAAGCCCATTATGGGTTCAGCCAGGCTCACAATGGAGTGGGAGAGATGGGGGCTTGACATATCTGGATAGATCATCACCTGAAAAATTCCTGGAGCTTTTTCAACCCGTCTGGATTCGATCCCAGAGTGTAGGCTGTTCGGCCTAAGTGTAAACCAATATTAGGTCGTGACCCATAGTTTGAAAAATGCTGCTATAGTGCACACAAATTGTATAAACATATATCAGCTGTGAGTTAAATGTACAGTACAATTATGTAAAAATTTCATATTGTTAATAATTATAAGGAATGATTATAATTTTTAAAAAGTGGATAATTTTAAAAGTGGATTTGGACTTTATTTTGAAAAATGAAATTGAATTAATCATTTAGTCTCTGTAATGATTTATTCACTAGTTTGTTATCTTAATATGCATACTCAGAGATGTAACTGAGGAGGGCAGGAGGACTCATGCTCTGGGCACTGAATTTGGGGGCTCCAAATTGAGTCCATAGAATTAAAAGACTAGAAATTTTTTGTAGTTAAAGTTGAATCAGGGATGCCAGATATGAGGTTTGCCCTGGGCACCAAAACCATTCAATGGAGTCCTATGCATACTTGCCAAATTTTGTAATTAATTTCATGTAGGAAATGATAATTATTTTTTGATAATTAAAAACATCAAAGTTTTATTAAAATATATAAATAAAATTTACTAAACCTACAAAATTGTCTTCTCATTCTGTTGTTACAAACACCAGTGACTTCCAAAAACAATTTTCAGTTACAGAAACAATATTTTATTTGAGGCTAGCATGCTTAATGAACTTTATTGTGAATTATATTAGTGGCATAATCGCCAGAAGACGTTTTTATCCATTTTTTATTTTACTGTGGAGGTGCAGCCTCAAATAAAAGACCATCTCCGTAATTGAAATGTGTTTTTGGAAGTCACGGATGTTTGTAACAACAGAACAAGAAGACAATTTTGTAGCTTCAGTATATATTTTAATATTAATACCATTGGCCAAAATTCATTTTTAATCAAAGTTTTATTTCACCACACTTGGATTTAAAAATATGAACTTATGATAACTTTGAAATCTGAAATAAATTTATATGAATTTTTTGCATTTACTCTAATTTTTATACTAATATCAATAGAATTTTTCTTTACATTTTCATATTTTATCTTATTTTCTTATTCACATTCATAAGTAATGAATAAAATTATCAAGATGAAATAAATTATGCATCATAATGTATAAACTAATTATTTTTGTTTTATTTTATTTTATTTTTTTTTAATAAATATAATAAAGAAAACCTATTATGCTAAAACACTATCAATAATTTAAGTTGAAATTAACTTCTTTAACTGTGTTAACAGGACATTTAGTTTTATACAGATTTCTATGTAAAAATAAACTATTTCATTATTTTATAATATATATAAACAAAAATCATAATTTGATTTCAGTATAACTATTCCTATAATTTGTGTTTCATTTTATGATGCTTTATATTAAAAAATTTCAGTTGTAAGTACATTTTTCAAATGTTTTTAAGTTTGATTTTTAATTAAAATTTTATTTAATGATATTGGCAAAACAAATTTGTCAAGTAAAATATTTTGATTTTTCTTTTGCAAAATTTAATATCTAAAATTAAATTTGGATTTATGCCATTTTATTCTGAGAATACTACTGAAAATGTTGCTTGTTTCTGCCATCATAAAATATAGATAATAATGTAGGACACTTCTGTAATATTTCCTTATGGTCATTCCCACCTTTTTTGATTGTTGCCATATTCTTTTAGTATTAAGTTATTGTACACATTTTTTGTTCATTCATTTATGTTAACTTGTTTCTAGAGAGTAGCTGTTATTGACCTTGTTACTTTCAAAACAAGGATGATAACAGCTACTCTCTTATAAGACTGTAGACTAATACACTCTTATTAAACAATATATAGCATTTTTGAAAGGAAAAGTATTAGACTGTCCATTAATTACATGTACAATTTTTGAACCCTCTCTCACCACTCTGTTATGTAAAATTATATACTTTTGTAGATCCTTCTGTATCACATGGTCTGCAGGGTTGAACAAAACAAAAAAAAAAAAAAAACAATTAAAGCGAATAGTCGGCGTAATAGCGTGTGGTTTTATAAACAAGGGTTTATCAAGAACAAATACATGACTAATGAAACAATACATGATTCAAAGTCATGAAGTCCGATCATGTTACAATATTACTCCTATTCGAGTCTCTTTCTAACCTTCCTTCCTTACATAAAGCCCTATTTTTTCCTGATGGACCATACGAAAAATGATAATGCCAAGGTAACATCAAATGAACAGTTGGGGAAAAGAGTTTACAAATAAAAACATATGAACTTTCCCTTAGGACCAAAATTCATTGGTCTCAGTGAAACTATGTTTAGTCCTTTATCCTTTTTGGATGGTGATCTCCTTCTATCTCGACATATTCCCTCAATGGAAATGGATTTCCTTTCCAATCCAAAACTTCTTCAATCCCAGGACAGTTGGTTCTCCTGAAGTTTTTTCCTAGTCCTTGCAACCTGCAGCATCCTCTGGTCACCCATGTACAAAGAAATCCAACATGAAAAGTCTCTTCACGTGATTTTATCCTTGTTTTTATACCACCTGCCAACGGATGTCACTCTGTCTCACATGACCATACCTTGGGCCAATCACTACATCGCATACTCCATCAGCAGAGAGCTGGTGGTACCGAAGAAGGAAACAGAGAGGGACCCACACAAAAACAGACATGTGACAACAAAAAAGAATAAATAAATAAAATATTATGCATAATAGCTGTGAAGCGCTACACTTTTAACAAACCCCTTCCCCTTTAATTATATATACAATAGTTTGTGAACCCCATACATTGAAAAAGTGACATTTTCTAATTGGTAATTTATTTTGATAACTAGTAAGTAGTTTTATAACAACAAATTTGTATGCCACTACACAACAAAAAAATTCCACAAAGACAATGCCTCAACCTCCTCCCTCTTCATTAGTGTTGCCATCTTTTCAAATCACTGACCCGGACGGCAGGTCAAGTTTGTTCGAACAGAAGTTCCCGACACATGTGCAATGTCATTTTACAATGTGAAGAATAACGTGCTAGATAACTTAGCCTGTAGACAAGTACAATCATACATTCAAAAAAAAAAAAAATCAGGTTGCATGTCACATGTTGGCATAAACAGGCAAACATGGCAGAATTGCAGATGATTTTCAGTGAGTGTGAGTTCTTTCACTATTAAAATAGTGTAAATTTGTAAAATTATTTGCAAGAACTTTGCTTCATTGTAATTTCACAATTTCTACGAAATTCCCGGACAAAATTAATTGTTCACCTGGACAGTGAGTCAATTCCCGGACTGTCCGGGTGAAAACTGGACGGGTGGTAACACTACTCTTCATTGTGTACAATGATGTATGTTTTGTTACCTGTTCCCTTAAACTGTACACACAATTAATGGACAGCCACTATCCAAGTATTTTTAAAATGATTCAATTCAATAAATTATAGAGAAATGCAAAATATTAACATTTTTTCCTCTTCTGTATAAAATATAATGTACACATATATATCATATTTATAAATAAATCAAAAAGTTATAAAATTAATTTTTAAAAATATCTCATTATATATCTAGAAAATATAAACTATTCCATGCATTTAAGAAATAAAAAATAATTTTAAAATTATTTTGTTATTAAAACAAGTATCATTACTTTTGAACACTCATACATATATACATGTGCATGTTTAAAAGTAATATATGTACTGTATATATAATTATTTTATTATTTTAATTTTATTAATTTCTTCAACATTCAAACAAATTTAAAAGTAAATTTATACTATTAACACATGTAAATGTTAACTAGAAACATTCTTACTGTTACAAGTTCTTTTGCAAATGTGATGCTACTTGATTTATTTTGAAGTTGTTCTTGTGCCTTTTGCAACCATTCCACAATTTTCTCGACACCTTGCATATATTCCCATCTTATTGTTCTTGCTCGTTTGAACTCTCTTTCTTTTTCTTCCATGGAAGAGGATACTTTTTCACAATATATTTCCGTAGACGACAACTCTTTATTGATCTCTTCGGGCACACTAGAACCTTTCTCCAGGTAACGAGTTTTAGTTTCGTTAGATAAAGTTTTTATTTGTTGACTGAGATCGGACACACATTGTGAAGTTTGCTGCATAAATTATTAATAATGTAACTTCAATTACTATTATTTTTATAATTATATTATTATTTATAGTAATAAGATGCAATACATACCAAGAGGGTCAGCTCCAATGTCTCAACATCTGGTTCATAGCAATCAAGATTTGTTATTTCATTTTCTATTTTGTGCAAACCATCTTTTAAACCAGAAATATCAATTTTAAGTGCTTCAGTTACTGCCTTTTCTTCTTTAACTTGTTTTATATATGCTTCAATATCACTTAAAAGTCTAAAATATTTTTAAAATTTATAAATTTGGATATGGATCATTACGTAATATTTATCAAAAAAATATATTATTTCATTAAAATATTGATTATAATAGTAAAGTTTGATTATTTATTTTGAAAATAAAGTTTTGTTATTGATCTTGAAAAAATGCATTTTAAAATTTAAATGTTTAAATCAAGGCATATAATGAGATAATTGAAAGAATCAAAGTAATATTAATTTTAAAGGAGAAGCAAAAACAATATTTAATAGTTAATTTATAGAAAAAAATGAAGCTTAATTATGGAACCTAGTGAAATTTATATAAGAACAAGGCTCTATGAAAGCATGAATCAAATCATTTAATGTAATATATATAATTTTAAAAATACAAATAATGTTTATAGTGTGAGCTCCCAGACGAGGTTCGAACTTGAATAAACCTCGAAATTCTTATGTGAAACCAGATGTATACAATGAGACTCGGAACTGTTCGAGTATATGTCAAATTATCTGTAAAGGTCTTAGCAGAAGACAAACTCTAACACGAGTGCTCGTAAATAGGTAGATCATTAACTCACAAGTCTATAAAATGTTGGCCGAGATAAACCTTTTTGAACAAAAAAATGGGAATTTTTGATAGATGAAAGATGAAAATGATCGTTAAATTCTTAGATGGCAAAATGGTATAAACAATGGCCTGAATTATGAGTTCGGGTGTTATTGTTTTATAAACAATCACCAGGCAGAGTCGACAAAAAGGTATCAAATGGACACCTTGAATTGGACCTTTCCCGCGATCCGAAGAGATTTTGTCTTGCACCTGGAGACAAGGGAGAGACCAATCAGAGAAAGAGAAAAAGGACGAGAAACCAATCAAAAGTACGGAAGATGGAAGGAAATGTATAAAACCTAGGACTTCAAGGTTGGAAGAGCTCTCTGACAGTCCCATCCAACTGCTCACTGGATATAGTTTTGTGTGCTAGTGTGAGGAATTTGTGCCGCCTGGAACGCAGTAGCGAATCTCATCCCGTCAACATCGCCCAAGGACTTAGACTTACACGCTCCGGGGCCTCTACAGACTAAGGGCTAAGGAAGTAGAACTATAAACCTGATGTAAGCTATGAATGTTTCCAGAATGTTACCAAATAAATGGCTTTGTCTTTTGTAAACACTTGTCATCACTTGCCTCCTCCGCCACACCCACATATAACCTTCCCTTAGGTTCATCCTGACACGGGAGTAACTGATCCCACCTAAAAGACGGCAACCTTATACAGGTGTCGAGGAGTGGGTTTTCAATTTCCCTATAACCACCAGGTCGGTGACCTTACAGTAGTGAAAATAAGCTTTTTATGTGATGTATACAATATATTGCTTTAAAAAAATTTCACAACACAATCATGCATTACTTAATGTCCATATGTTCTGCAAAATAGGACATTACGTGATTTGGGTATTGTGCAAACAGCATATTATATACATACTTAGCAAAGTTATATAGGATACTATAATTGTATTAAATAAATAGCCGAGATACTATACAAATAAATAGTTAGCATTTTAATTAATACTGTAACTAATTATGACAAATAGGAATATTTGTCATAATGTTTTTATTTCTTATATAATATTTATTTTATATTTATTGGAAAGATCTGAGAATTTTCTGCAATATTTTCTGGAAACTATATTTCAGAATCTATCAATGTTGATTATATATCAAACTTTATGCCTGACAGTGCAATTACTTTGTCCACCAAGTGACTTTAGATCAATATTGAAAGTCCTTAATAAGATTTCTCCTTATACCAACTACATTTTTTTCACTGGTTTTTCCAATGTCCCCAAAATTTCCACAGTGATCAAAATTTCCCATTTTTCAATATTATAAACTTGTAGGACTGTAGGTATGTATGTGATTGGATGCTGTGCAAACAGAAGTTATGAGAAGCATGAAAGTATTTTATTTAGCTGATAGAAACTAACAGACAATGCCAAGTCAGTTCATTAGAAGTTGCTATTAATATATATTATGTAGTCTAAGATTACAAAAAATAATTCTGTTAAATAATATCCAGATAAAATTGATATATTATTTGAAATATAATACTGTACTGTAACTATTTTATATTCAGTATAAGTTTGAATCAATCAATCACAATTAATCCATTCAGCAGATTTCTTTTTGGAACGTGGCCAAACAACTGTAAGTTATATTTTAAATTTATCTTGATAAAATTAAATTGAAAATAAATGCATACATATACAGTAATTATATATAAATATTCACTCATGTTTTTATTTTCTTTATAAACTATTTAATGAAATTTAAATTAAAAAGATTTAAATATTGGATTGAATACATTATTTCAATATAGATTCAAAAAATGAAATCAATCAGCCTGTTGTATCTTGTTATTACTAATTTATTCTAATGTCAAAGATTAATAGTTTAATATTATAAATTAAAAACTGAAATTTTTTTAAATTTTGCAATTAAATGTTATGCAGTAACATTTAATTGCAAATAAATCAATCTTTGTTTATAAAACGTTAAATTCTTAAATAACTTTTCTGTTTGTCTTATCATTTAGAGCTGCAATAATCGACCTTTTCTGGATGTAGACCATAAGTGAACTTCATAGATTTCTAGTGGGCTGCATGCATTTTTTCTTATGTAATTGCAGATTTTTAAGCCTGCTGAGTACCAACATATTTGACAACTTCCGGTACACTAGCTACTACAATAATATATACTAACTAGTAATATATATCAATAGTGTACTTTCTTCTTCTTTTAACTGGGCAGCTATTAATTAATTAGGATTGCATAATGGCACAAGGCAGAAAACGAGAAAATAAAATTACGTTGGCAAAACATTGGGGGGACCACATGCAGCCTATGGGTTGCTCATGACTAATTTAGCATTTTCATATAATGAATGTATCTTAAAATAGTTATTACTAATATTTTTTAAAAAAGATATTGAAAGAATTAATCAAGAAACAATCCATGAACGTTGGAAACGATTTTAATAATTTATTGTGTCCATGACAAATTTAAAATATTAATTATATTCAATTTTTAAATCCACATTTAAATATTATAATTATTTCAGCCAAGTTTATAATAAAAAAAAAAAACCAGAAAGTTAGCAAATAAATGCAAATAAAGTAGATTGCCTAATCACTTGACAGGAAATTTAAGTAAACAATTTGAACCATTCTAGGAAATAAACGACAACAACAAAATTAAAAATAAAAAAACTTTTATAAAATAGATTTAAAAGTATATCATCCATATTAAAAATTTTTCATAAATTATTTCATAACTTTCTTGAACTTTTCTAATTATAAACACATTTTAAATTTATTGTTAAAAATTTAATTATAATAAAAATTAAAACGGAAATTAGCGCATTAACACATCTAACACTTTAAAAAAAAATTTGACAGTTGTGAAAAATTCTTTATAAAAGATTTAAAAAAACGCGCGCTCGTCTCACCACATTTAGTACGATAAAAATTATATATACTGTATACAATAATTTTTAAACCTTCATTATTATTAATTAAAAAACCGCACAAAATAAACATTAAGAACTGTCAACAATTGTTATAGGGTAAATGTAGTTAGACGTTAAGTAATAAACATTTAATCGAGTCGAACCGGTTGAAACAAGTCTATAGAAAACACCTAAGAAAAGACATGAGTCAATTGCAATAGTAGGATGTAGCGCACCTACTGTTACGCAACGTACTACACGACACAACGACCTAAATTATAAACAAAATGGACCAAAACAAGAGCTAGAAAAATAAAATATAAATAAAATAATAAATAAATATAGTATAGTGTAAATAAAACAATGGACTGAGGAGGAAACTGCTCCTTTTGTTTTATTTACGTATGTATTTATGTATTATATTATTTATAGTATACTTACTTATTGTATCTTTCTTGTAGTGTCTGTACTTCTCGACGCACAGTATCGGCTGCAGATTCGGAAGAGGATGTCAAATACGACAACACACCCGAAGACAACGTGTTAACATCCACTACTTGATCTTTCAATCCTCGGGCCTCGTTCAGTACGGCCTACGCAACGGAAAATAAATATAGAATATGATTCATCTTACCAAATTTGATTACGTTCCTGTATTAACACGAATGATATCCGTATACGTGTTTCTGTTTCGTATAGAAAAACTACAGCTGCATATCACTAGGAAGATGCGAATTTTAATAATTATATGACCTAATTTATGTCCAATGAGTTAAAAATATAAATGGTCTTTTTTTTGTAATTTACCGACAAACTTTTATAAAGTGGAATATGAGAAAGGCTCGAGAGGGGTTCTTACGAGGTAATCCGAGATCGTTGCAATATTCATAAGAATATTTATAAAGGTTGCTTCGTAATCTGCATAAATCAACGAGAAAACAAATTTAATTTATTATTATTATTATTATTATTATGCTTTGAATATAGCTTTAATTCATATTAAAACGGGATGAGAAAAACTAAAATTTGAGGACCAAAAAAAATTTTTTTTAATTGATTACTAGAGAAGAAACAGACCTTGATATCACATTTATATTCTAACTAATACAGAAATATATTAATTACATATATTAAAAATTGCACTTTTATTTTATATGTCGTATAGAAAAACTATATCGATATAAAAAAGTTCGAGCCATAATAAAAAAAACAAAGGCTGAAAGATAGCAGCTTGCTACTTAGAAGCATCCAAAGTTAGTTACTTACAACAGATTAACCGAAAATGATTGGTTTTCGAATATAATATTTATCCATAATTTAAACATAAAAACCCAATCAAAACTAAAAAAAAAACAATTTTTTAGATTACGTAACTTTATTTCCCAGCCTTCAATTTGCCTACAAAACATGACTAATATCAGGGATAAAGTGAAAAGTTACTACATTTCACGTAACTTATGTATTATCCACGTAATAATGAATACAATAGCATGAACCAGATCACAGTTGCAATTTAATAACTATACTGATCAATAAAAGCCATCGTATCATAGAATCCACTCAAGAGAAAAATCGATATTGTTAATACAAAGGCTATTTTCTGTGAAAATAAAATAAATTTTAAGTTGTAAAACTTAAAACTGAATATGAACGTTTATAAAGGAAAAGAAAAAAAAAACTTGTTTGTATCTATATAATTTTTTTTCACGCATTTTTGTGAGAATAAAATCCAGGACAAGTGCAAAGGTTAAGTAGTACAAAGGAGGTCGACAAGTATATAACCAGACACTTAAATGACACTTATCGCACATCGTTAACATTTTTGACGTCATCTTAAGAATTTTGTAATTTTTTTTTCTACATTACAAAAGACATTTATAAAAGTTACATCAACGTTAAAAATACAAAATGAATAAATAAAAATCGCATTCTGTTATTTTCGTTCATTGGGTTTAAAATATTTCAAAGTCGATTTATTACTACAAAGAAAGCTTTTAAGATAGTTTCAGATTCAAAATAAACGCATAAAATATAATAAAAGGCTGAAAAATTTAAATTATATAGCACACTGTAGACATAAATGTTTATAAAACTCAATTGTAAGACAACGGCAAACAATTTAATCGCGTTCAGATTAATTAGGTTATTCTGACGTTCTTCTTATAAATTTTGCACATAGTAAAATTATGTCTTAATAATTATTTTTAAAGGAATATTTTAAATTAGAGAGGTTGCGGCCGACGTTTTCAACGCGAAAACGTGTACGTCGGACGTTCAGCGCCGCTTTTCTATAAGCCTAGAAGTTTGACAATGGTGTTTGGATAGTCAGTGGAATCATGCTCGACGTCCCAAACACCATTGCCAAACTTCTAGGTTTATAGGAAAACGGCGCTGAACGTCCGACGTACACGTTTTCGCGTTGAAAACGTCAGCCGCAACCTCTCTATTATTCTGTTGTATTCGCGTCTATCTGTTCTCTATACATTTCTAAACCCTTTTACCGGTCTAAAGTTTTCTTAGATTATATTTTCAACAGGATTCTAGGGAGTAACTATCATAAAACCTCAACATTCCAACCCTCCCCTAGTCCATTTCTTATTTGATCGATATGGACCAAATTCTTTATAGTTACTATCCAGGATCCTGGGCTACCATAAAACCTGGACATCCCCGTTGACACTTAATGCATTCAAATTAAATTATCATAATTATACGTAAGCATTGCTTAATAATTAATAAAGGTGCCACACGGTCTAGTGATGATTTCTCTAAGAGTATAGGATCTTCTGAATTTGAAAGCTCTGCCGAAATAACCCTATTGATTCGAATTGGCGTAAATTTACCAAAACCTTTAACTCGAAAATTTAAACATTCTTGCATTATGACAATAAAACTATTTTAAAACGAATAATTAAATTACTGCTACTAGAAAAAAAAAATTGATTAAATTTACAATAGATTAAAATATTCAATACGGACCCATCAAACTTGTTGCGTGCTAACGACCAAATTTTATTACTTGTAGCAGACAGAACAGGTTTTGCTGTAAGGTATCTTAACAACATGACAGAAGATAATATGAAAATATCAATTAAAAACAAAACTGAGAGTTAAAAAAACAATTAAAAAATGTAAATCAGTAAGAAATAATTATCTAAATGAGCAAATAAAGAATTTGAATACAAGACTTAGCAACATAAGTTCAGATAGGAAAAAATAAGGCATTTGCCTACAAAAACAAAAGACAAGAATGCCTGCAAATTATTATTATTTTTTCATATAAACAAGCATGTATCAAATAGAACTCATTCGAAATGTGCTGTAGGAATAATACTGTACAAAATCCACTTAGACAAATCATTAAAAAATGGGCCTTGAAACACGAACCTGGGAGGAAAAAGATAAGAAAAGTATCGGAACAGCAGTAGAAAAATTAATATCGGCTAGATATTCAAAACTAGAAAATAACTGAAAAAATAAGAGAAGAAATTAAAACAGTTGGCATTGAAGAAAATGATTCACACACGTTGAAAGAATAGTTCAAGGCCGTTTGTTAAAGTAGCAATTACTAATATACAGAGAGAACAGCAATAACTGTTCTCTCTGTATATTAGTACCAGACCATAGAAGAGAGTGGAGAGGATTTTGAAGTCAATACAGACAGAAACTTGCCTAATTCTTCCTGCCAAAATAACAGTAATGATGTTTTTTTATCTGATTTTTTTAAGAAGCAGTTTTATGACTAATTAGTTAATACTAATGCTCTTTAAGATAAGAGATCTTATTCAAATTTCTATTTAAATAGAATCATATATCAATAATACGATTATAATAAATGCTTGTTAATAAAATAGTAATAAAAATAAACATTTTGAAAGTACATACTTTGATCCTAAAAATTTTTAAATTTACTTTATTTGTGTGCAGTGGTGACAAAACATTTTGCTTTAATATAAACACAGATTTTCTTAAAATTTTGAAATGTGGCATCCTGTTAACAAGGAATTTCCACGAAACAAAAAGACGTACTCTGTTGATAACATTTTCTTATCACCTTTGCTTTAAGAAGGAAATAGTAAAAAAAAAAATGTTAATTGGATGAGAAAATTGGAAAAATCTTCTCATTGGATCATCAGAATAAAATATCTAAAAGTATCCCGATCGAATAATTAGTCTAATCGGTCTCCAAAAGCCATGGAATGGTGGATGATATAAAGGAGTTATCCTGTCGATCTTTTACGATCTATCATTGAATCCTAGTTAGATCTTCAGAAACACCACCATATGATCCATTGCAGCTAGAACATAACTGGCATTGAGCATTAAAAACAAACGTGGATTTGGACCAGTGGGTGGAAAAAATAATAATACAGTAGAACCTCGAAAACTCGTCCCTCGATAACTTAGCACTCCGGATAACTGGTCCACACCTTAGCAGGGCGAAAAAATCCTTAGTTAATTAATTTTCATTATAGACAGCTTTATAAAAGTATAAAAGCTCTCATAAAGTATTTTTCTGAGGTCTGTCTTATCAGGTAAATTACTGTACACAGTGTATTCATTAATTTTCATTTTCATGTAGTGGCTCTATGCCTTCATAAAGGACGTACTTTTCCTTTGTTTAAGGGTATTTGGGCAGTTTATTCTCTGTTATATTCTTCTCAAGTAAACAATACCAAGT